ATTGACAATATATATAATTTTTCCATATTAATCATTGAAGTATGAACAAAAGTTTTGAAAAATTTGAAGAAACTAAAATCTTCTTAAAGGTAATAGAAACATAAAGCTCACAAAACGAGTTTAAATATGACTCAAACTTCCATTTTCAAAAAAAGGCAATTGAATAAGCATGTTGCACAGTGGGCCAGTGACTGGACAAAAGTAAAAATTGGAGTCTGATTTTTCCCACTTGTTTTAAATCATTATTAATATACTAAATATCAATATTTTATAGTTAAAATACAATTATGTTAAAAAAATCTATAGTTATAATTTAACATTTTATCAAATCTTGTGCATTTAAAACTGTTTTATCTTTGAACTATCTATTTTCAGCATTTTAAGAGTAGTTAGATTAAAATAGGTAAGCAAACAAATAAGTTATAATAATTTTCAATACTACTTTAATAAAAAATTTGAAGTTTAATTTTTGGTTTAAAAAATGCATCATCATCATTATCATCATCATCAACATCATCATCATCATCATCATCATCACCATCATCATCATCATCATCATCATAGCCTTCGTTTTTTATTCTGTTTCTCTAACCATGTTCAATGCTCAAACAAGCTATGATCTCTATGACAATAAACCAAAACACATTTATTGGCTTCTTATTTAACAAGTTGCATACTTTTTATTAATCCAGTTTTTTCCCTTGCACATCAAAAATTTCTTACCCGTCTTCATGTGTTTTTTTTTTATACAACCTAAATTTTAACTTATCTTCTATTTTACTATATATATATAAATATATATATAAATATGAAGAGTCCAGGGGAAAAAATAGCAAAGTCACATTTTATTCGTTTTGAGAAATTCAATTTTTAAGTTTTAAAACCATTTTTTAATAATAAGTTGATAACAAAGTGACTTTTTTAAAATTAATTTCACATTAGTAACTATTTCAATAAGGTAAAATCAAGGTATATTTATTTCGGTTAAGAAAATACAAGTTTTATTACTTTATAATTGAAGTTGGGTCAAAACGGACTATGCTCGTTTTTTCATTGCAAAACGTTTTTTTCCCTTTTTCTTTCATATTTATTCTTAAAATCATAATAGAATATAGATTTTTGCAATATTTTTAATTTACTTTTATTATACTACCTTCTTTTCATCAAAAATGTTGGGATATTTCCAATGCTAAATGATAATTAGGTTGTCTGCAATTTAGGTCATCACTGACCAAAATTCTGTCATTGTTCTATTTGGTATAAACTATGCTTAACAATGTTTGAATTCTCTTTATTTAATATAAATTTAGAATTTCAATTCTTATAAATTTTATTACATAAAACTAAAACTTAATTTTCAAAACACTTTCAAAACAAATTACAAAGCAAGATTTTTTTTCAAACAAAAAAATTTTACAAAAAAAAATATATTTATATAAATTCATCATCTTCATTTTTGTTGTCATAGTTTCAGAGTTTGGCTCTCTCAACGCTTTCAGTCTAGCTTCACTTTTTCTTCTATAAAAAGTTTCAGCCTTTTTTTGGTGAAAATCTCTTTCAAATTCTAACTTTTTTAATTTAATCTTCAAATCTTGTGCTTCAGGATTAGCTAAGATATCTTTAGAACAAATATCAATTCTAATTTTTAGTTCGTCACACATCGAACATGTCTGTTCGAGGATAACCAAAAGCAATATTAAACTCATTGTTAAATTTATTTTATTTTAGGCTAGTGAAGTTGTAGTTTTTTTTCTTTATATTTAGAATTTTTATCATCGTAGATCTTTTTAATTTAATTGAAATAGTTTAAATTAAATTCTGCACATTTTTTTAGATAGACTTGAATTTTTATTGAGTTTTTTTCTCTCGAAAACCTTGTTAGTTTACATTGAATTGCATTACCGGTTTATAAAAGTTATGTAAATTTTTTTACTTAACAAAATATAATATGCTAAGTGTCAATTTTGCGAATAAGCTTCACTTTTAGTGCCAAAAATATATTTATATGGCGTTCATGTAACTTTTTTTATCAATAATAAAAGCGGCAAGAAAACAAGTTTGTTATAGTAATATAGTATAATAATGTCTTAAATATATTAGATATTAAGATAATCATATTATTTTTAAACTTTACATAAAAAAATTTAAACTTCGCTTTTACTCATTTAAAGGCGGTTAAATCAAACACATTATGATATTTATGGGCTATTATTTAATTTATAAATTCCACACGCTGCATGTCATTAAAATTCAACAAAAAAAATCTAATGAGTTCTACAGGTTATTATTTATCTACTTTTCAAAAAGGCACTCCTTCTTTGGCAGACAATTTTTATAAAGCTAGAACTTTTTAGTCCCAAGCTAAAATAGAATGATTTGAATGACCATAGCGTTAATGTTTAAAGGAATATCTTCTTAATGTTTTTTTTTAAATATTCCATCGATGAGATCCAGGGTTGGCAAAAACCCGGGTTTTTTTAAAAAAAAAATGGCCCAGTGGGTTTTTTTGGGTAAATTTGGGTTTTTTTTGGGTTTAATTTTTATTTTGTCCCTGTAAAATTTTATTTTGTGTTTTTGTTTAATGATATTGAAAATTAGTTTCATTTTCTACTTTAACTTTATTTAAAATATATTTTATATATTGTTGTTTAATTATTTATAACAAGAGTTCTTCAAATTATTTTGAAAAATATTTTTAAATATAATTTAAAACTGTAATAGAAAAAAAAATTTCACGCTTAATCTATATGTATTGATTTATTTTAAATTTAAAAGTATTATTCTATATAATTAAAAATGTCAATGAGAAAATGGGAAAAAGAAGGCTAGAGAATGGGAGGTAGTAACTGAAGTTTCAATTAAACTTTGAACTTGAAATTCAAATGAACAAACTTGTTCCTCTGCGCAGCGGCCTTGTTTATAAAGATTCGTGTTTAGGAGTTAAAGAGTTTTTTTTTTTTAATCAATTCACCTCCTTAAGGTTTAAGGCCACTACAGGCAAGGAGGCTATTTATTTGTGGTTATAGCCCTCACTCAACTCTATAACTCCAAAACATGAACCTTGAGGAACAAGGCTGCTGCGCGGAGAAAGGAGTTATGCGCAGTACTGCCAGGGACGTAGTGGGGATCGGACTCGGAACCTCTCACTTATGAAGCGAGCACTTTACGACAACACCACTGCCGCGTAAGAGTTGAGAGAGGATTGTAACCACAACAAGGTAGCCTCCTCGACTGTTGTGTTGGCTTCTCTGGTCACTAATACTCATTTAAATTCAAGTTGGGAGGTGAATAACATAAAGTAATAAAAATCTCAATCGATAAAAATATTTGAAGCAAAATTGTTATAATGTATTTCCAAATAATGATTCAAATAATAGTAAACCTGCTCTGATAGCTGTTATTGTTGGTTATAGTAGTTAATAATAATAGTTAATAATAATTTAGTTAATAATAATAGTTAATAATAATTTAGTTAATAATAATAGTTAATAATTATTTTAGTTAATAATATTATAGTTATAATGTTAAAGTTGGTTATAATAGTTCATTAACTTAATAAATATCTTCAAAAAAACCCAATAAAACCCAGATTTTCCAGGGTTTTATTGGGTTTTTTTAGGCGGTTTTTTTTGGGTTTTATTGGGCGGGTTTTTTTGGGCTGGTTTTTTAATGCCAACCCTGATGAGATCTCAGCCTCTAAAAAAGCACATTTGTAAAATCTTTTATTATCAAATTTTTAAAACTGACAGCTTTTCTTTGCTTTTCGGTGTCCACAACGTTTGCAGTAATAAATCAAACATACTTTGACTTACTTTGTAAAACAAAATATTTTTTTAATGAGAGTTTATTCACTCTATAAAAAAATTAATAATTATCTACACCAACTTTCCCCATTTTGATATAATTAAACTTTTTTTAAACTTCTTTTCATTATTGTAATCTCATCTTTTGACTTCTTGAAAAAACTTTTACATAATTGAAATATCAGTAGAATTAAATAATGTGACATTTCTTAGATTAGGCGCTTTTTCAAAGTTAATTTGCTCATTCGCATTTTATAATATCCATTTTGCGATCGTTTTAAATAAGCAATAGTTTTAAATTTAATAATATAACAATAAGACTGTTAAAGAACAGTCATTCAAACTACAATTAATAACAGTGCTTTTTTTGGGAATGAATGCCTCCATTATCAACATATTTTGAAAGTTTGTCTAATAGTTTACATTAAGTTTAATTTTGTCAATTTTAAATCAACGAATAAAATTTTATTTTAAAGAATTGAAAATCCCGCCGGACAAAATGTCCGATGACTTTGTAAATTGATTAGACAATCTAAGGTTTTAACCGGTCAATGTCCGATGTCAGACTGTTAAATTGAGCCCTATATATATATATATATATATATATATATATATATATATATATATATATATATATATATATATATATATATATATATATATATATATATATATATATATATATATATATATATTTATATTTATATGCAATTATTCGTAACTCATGTTAGTATTCATCTAGTGTTGCAAATGTAAAATTTAAAACTTTTGAAAAATTACTGCTTGAGAAATTTTATGGTTTTTTATTAAAAAAAAAGGCAATGAAATTAAAAGATATAATATTCAAAGTGTATTAAAAACTGCAATCACATATAATATAGCTGGTAAAATATACACTTTATGAAATGTTTGTTTAATCTACTGAATATTCTTTTATACAACTTGAGATGTTTTATGCACAGGTAATGAAAAAGTTTTAATTATAATTAAAATAAAAACTGATTTTAAATAATTAAAATACAGATTATAAATTGTAAAATAAACATTAAAAACTTTTCAAAATTGGCAACATGAAAAAAAGATATCTGGTTTTAGAAAGGAGTAAAATAAATTCTGTTTAAAATAATATTGAGATAAAATGGCAGGACTGTAGCTAGACTGGTACAAGTGCTACACCACATGGGTGTAGATGAGTGTAAATTATAAAAAAAGTGTAAATTAAAAAAAGAACATGAAGCTTAAAATGAAAAGAATTGGTAGTAGACCTTCTACTAATTTTTTACAAAAAGTAAGCAACAATCCTAAGTAACCTTGTTACTTAGGATTGTTGCTTACTTTTTGATCCCCAGTCAATACAACAGGGCTTTTTAAGGCTCAAAGCTATTTTAAAGCAAAAAGCTTCTTTTCATATGATTAATTTAAGATTCAATTTTAAGAGTTACTTTCGAAAACATTTTTTTTTTTGAATTAGGGCCCTGTTTTCAACCACCAAGTTGATTTGAAAACACTTAAGCGCTCAAAGCAAGTAGAGGTATAACCCTTTGTCGATTAGGTTATAGAAATAGAAATAACCCAATAAATCTAAATCCCCACAAGAAATGTTTTCTTAAAAAATAATTTATTTTTTTTTATACAAAAATTTACCTTTTCAAATTTAAAATTTACCTGTAAATTCACCTGAAACTTTTTCTGTGAAATTTAGAATTAAAATAAAACATGTCACCATTAGTAACTCATGAAGTATTATTATGTTTCAAACAACTTTTGTTTGTAGTAGAGATGACTTTGTCCAGTTTAGTATTCACTATGGTCTTAACAAAAATTATATTTTTTGACTGAACAAACTAGTTCTAACACTAAGTGCATTATTTTCAATATCAAACAGTTTCTAATAGTACATAAAGAGGATTTTTCTGGAATTGCATCATACCTGACTAGAATATTTTTCCAAGCTCTATTGTATCTGTCATATCAGTCAATGCCTTTAAAAATCAGCAGGACCTATTTTTAAGGAAATTCTAAAGCAAAATAGACTAACATTTATCATTGTAGGGTATTGTTAGTTGCCCTGCTTGCAAATGCTTAAGCATTTATTTTTATAAACAAAGATTAATTATGCAAATATTCTTCACAAATATACTTAGAAATTAATTTAATATTAAATTTCTAATTGTTTTAAATTTGTTTAAAATAATTTGGAGTTTATAAATTTTGTCTATTTGCAAAAGCTATATAGTTTTAAAATTTTGTTCTGTTTTTTTTTTTTTTTTTTTGCTTTGTTAAGGACAGTTTGGATTTAATATTAGAGTGCATTCTGAAGACAACTGAGAAGTGTGAGGTAATATTTTAAATATGTTTTTATTTAAAGTTTTGATAAATTAATTTAACAATATTTAAGTAAGAATGTTCATAAACAATGAGTTTTTTAAATACTTTTCTGCACACACAATATATATATACACACACGTGGTAGAGATTGAACTTCTTGCTTATTAGGCGAGGGCTCTAGGACTACACTACTACCGCAAATACATATATACATATATATATACGTATATATATATATATATATATATATATATATATATATATATATATATATATATATATATATATATATATATATATATATATATATATATGTCAGTGGTGTACACTGGATTTTTAGATGTTTCAGTTTTTACACTTACACATATTTTGCAAACTTCAAACTTTTGTATGTTCATAGTTATATCAAATGAGAATGTTTTGCAAAAAGTTGTGGTGATTGGAGCTTGGGGACAAAAAAAACCCAATTTTCGGGCCCACCCAGCCCTTAACGTGGGAGCAACAAGTTGACTAAATAGTTTCTTTAGTATTTTTATTTATATAAGTTTATATTCATCAACGAATTTCAAATTTCAATGCAATAAATTCTTAGTTTTTAGTTTTTATGACCCTAAAAAGTTTACAGCCCCCTTTAATTGAGGGGGGTTAAAACTTTATATGGTCATAATTTTGTAAAATTAATAAGAAATTATTGGATGAAATTTGAAATTTGTTGATGAATATAAACTTAGATAAAAATACTAAAAAAATTATTTTATCAACTTGTTGCTCCCACGTAAAGGGCTGGGTGGGCCCAAAAATTGGGAATTTTTTGTCCCCAAGCTCCAATCGCCACAACTTTTTGCAAAACATTCTCTTTTGACATAAGTATGAACATACAAAAGTTTGGAGTTTGCACAATACCTGTAAGTGTCAAAACTCAAACGTCTAAAAGTCCAGTGTACACCACTGTATATATATATATATATATATATATATATATATATATATATATATATATATATATATATATATATATATATATATATATATATATATATATATATATATATATATATATATATATACATATATATATATATATATATATATATATATATATAAATATATATATATATATATATATATATATATATATATATATATATATATATATACCCATATAGTGTAGCTTTAAGAGCTTTTTAATGTAAAAAAAGTCTCTTACGACTACAATTTTAATTACCTCGTCTCTTAAGCTGTTTTTGATTGTCATCGAAATGTCAAAGCAATTAATTTATGCGGAAGTACATTAAATTTAATTGTTTTTTAAAAAATTTTTAAAAAACCGCAATTATAACGACTAGAAAGTTTTTTTTAATTAGTGGTGTTTTTGTTATTGATTTAATAAAAAACATTTTTAAAACATGCGTAAATGTTGCTACATCGACTATCTTATAGCCTGACTCGCAACGGAGTGCTGCTACATCGACTGACAAATAGCCTGACTCGCAACGGAGTGCTGCTACATCGACTGACAAATAGCCTGACTCACAACGGAGTGCTGCTACATCGACTGACAAATAGCCTAACTCGCAACGGAGTGCTGCTACATCGACTGAAAAATAGCCTGACTCGCAAGGGAATGCTGCTACATCGACTGACAAATAGCCTGACTCGCAAGGGAGTGCTGCTACAACGACTAACAAATAGCCTGACTCGCAAGAGAGTGCTGCTACATCGACTGAGGGTTTGGTTTGGCCAGGCAGTCTATCAATTTAAAAAAAAAATTTAACTTTTAAATTTTTAAAACTTTTTCTGGTCTGGTTTATTAACGCGCTCTTTAATACTACAGTTTATGGGAAACTTTTTTTGATGCCACGCAAGAGACATGCAAGAGTATATATATATATATATAAATATATATATATATCTATATATATATATATATATATATATATATACACACACATATATATATATATATATATATATATATATATATATATATATATATATATATATATATATATATATATATATATATATATATATATATATATGTATATATATATGTATATATATATATATATATATATATTAGAATAATTTAAACTAAAAAATACAACTTTATAATGGAACTTAAATGCCATTTGGCAATCATCAGCCATAGTATTCAATCATATATATGGCATGAAATATATGGCATGAAACTTTAAGTTCCATTATTAAGTTGTATTTTTACATTTAAATTATTTTAATATAATTCAATTCATTTAAAAAAAGATATTGATCACTCTTAAACAGACGATATACAGGTATATATATGTATATATATACATGTATATATTATACATATATATACATATATATACATGTTGTTTCCTCCAAGTTCTTCATTTTTATGTTAAGGACTCAATCAAGTGCATGATATTGACAACCAATGATTTGTGGTTCTTCCAGTTTCTTTTCAGTAAAATCTCTTTGTAACTGACAATCCCATTCTTTTTTTCAGTGTTTCCTTGTAACTCTGTTATGTTATGTATCTTGTTATATAGTTAGTTAGTAGAACTTATATAGTTATATAGTTATGTAGAACTTCTCTTAGTTTATTCTTCAACACTAATACCTAATGTTCTTGTATACATTTACCAGAATGTTGCACAAAAACCTTAAAAATGTAAGCGATATATATGTAAACATTTAATAAAGGATATAAAAATATTCTCTGAATAATAATAAAGATGAAAAATGTGCATGTGAAAATTAAAACAAAGCTGAGCAATGAATGAAACAAACAGTAATAATATGAAAATCAGGAGATAAATAATATATCAACAAACACTGCAACAAGACTAACTAAATATTGCAATAAAACAGATAATTTTAAGCCAAATGAGTGGTTAAAAAACTCACCGTGGGTAATATAACAACGATATAAGTCGTAATGTAAAAAGTATGATAAAACTTCTCTTAAAAAAAATCATATTCTTGTTAGTTGAAGAATAAGCAAAGAATGAAGAACAACCCAGACTTTATGAAAAAGTTTATTTTTTACTGTCAAGTGTGCTATAAACATAATTAGTTTAGCATTTTATATTTCTTTTTTATATTTCTTTTTTATATTTCTTTTTTGATAGAAGATAACCTTTCCCTAATCAGTTTACATTTTTAATTTTTATTCACAGAATCTTTCTCATCTATACCAATATTTGATGGAAAAAATGGAAGTGCCCTTATACAGATTCATATATAATTATAAGCGTTGCTCGTAATTTTGTGTTGTGGTTGACCATTTTTGAAAATTAATCAGAATAAAACCCATTTCATTACTTTTGTGCAAAAGTTCATCAATTTATGACACAAAAAATTAGTTATTTTACAAAAAGTTAAAAATTCACAAGCCTAATATATATATATATGGGTCATTCCATGTCAACTCAACCAGTAATGTTCACCACACCATCTCAGATCTTCCTGAAATTTTTAGGGCTTGAAGTACATACAAAGTTAAGCACTTGCTGAGAATTTTAGACCATTTGGTCAAAACTTGCTGAGATATGATTTTATAAAGTTTTAATGGTTGTCGCGAGTTCACTTGACTTTTACACTTTTGCGATATTTAAACGTGAATATTTCAAAAACTAAAACAGGTATCAGGCTTTAACTTACTAACTTTAACTAACTATTTTTTCATAAAATTTAATTGACAGTTTATTGCTTTGATGATTTACCACAATATACTTTAATGTACAAAAAATATTTAAAAAAAAAACTTAACGAATTATGGTTTTAATTAGCAATTGATTTAGTAGGAAAGGCTTAAGACACCAACATGAAATTTTCACCATAGCTAGTACTTACTGAAGTTAATAAGTGTGCAAAATATGAAATGTGTGAATTACTGTCAACATGGTCATCTGGGGGTCGCAATGTGTACAAAAATTGATGACCATGATGCATAACAGTGTCTACAATGAATACACTTTTATTGATTAACATGAATTTTCTATGAAAATAATAAACACATATATGGTACTTATTAATGGTATGATAAACATCATTCCATGTTTTATAGGTTCTTGGCTATATTGGGTCAAATATTGGTAAAAACTGTCTAAAGTGAAATGTTTGGACATTTATAGGAAATATTGTATGCAAGCTACATTTGATATAAAAACACCATTCAACTCAGCATGAAAAAATGAGTAAATGCTAAAAATTTCAGCCTGATACCTGTTTAGTTTTTGAAATTCACGTTTAAATATCGCAAAAATCCCTTAAAACTTTAAAAAATCATATCTCAGAAAGTTTTTGACGAAATGACCTAAAAATTTCAGGAAGATCTGAGATGGTGTGGTTAACAATTGTCAAAATGCTGGTTTAGTTGATATGGAAAAACATATATATATATATATATATATATATATATATATATATATATATATATATATATATATATATATATATATATATATATATATATATATATATATATATATATATATATATAATAGTATATATATACATATATATACATATTTATAAATATACTATTATTTTATATTTATACTAATATAAAATAATCAAATAGGCTTTTTCAAGAAATGATTGTTCTATTTCATTATTGCAAAAACATTAAGCACTCTCACCTACTTGCAAGAACATTAAGGAATTGTTTGTACTACTGTGTGGATTTAATTATTTGTAATACAGTGAATATTCTCACTGTTTGATTTTCAATTTGTTAGAAAATAAAATAAAAATGTTTTTATATTTAAAAAAATACTTGTTCACTTTAAAACTTTATAACTTTTTTTTTTTTAAATTTATAACATTTTTTTTTTTTTTAATTTATCAAACTGAATTTTATTAAAATTTTATTATTCATTTAAAATGGTTTAAAAGTATTATTATGGTTTTTATATATTAGCATTTTTATCTTTAATTATAATTGAAAAAGAATAAATGAGTAAACCTAATGACTCTATATGAACCTTATAGCTAAAAGATATGCATATGGAGGTGGAAGAAGGAGCATACTCAGTTACTGTTGATGAATCTGGTTCAAATAAACAGCAAAAACATTTTTTTTATATAAGTAAAGGTGAAACAGTTAATCTTACTTTTCAAATTTAATTTTTTTTTCAAATTTTTATGAAACACATTTGAAAATTTAATTTCATTTTTTAATATTTTTTTTACATTAATGCTGTTAAAATCTTTTTTAATTTTCATACAAAGTACTTTTTACATAAATACTACTTTTTGATTTTCAAATGAAATAGTTTTTTATGCGTAATATTTATTATTTATTTCATACATTTTTTAAAATTATTTTTTGTTTTGCAACTATATTTATATTAAAGTTAACTATTATTATTATATGGAAAAATTAATTGATAAATATTTTTTATTTTTAAAAATAAGATGTTATATTTTGCTTCTTACAAAATTTGAAAAAAAAATCTTTGTTTATTATTTTGAATAATATTCTGTCAGTGTTTTTATATTCCTTATGTCACACGAGGGAAGGGGGTGTGTATACCAGGGGTTTGTATATACCATATACAAGCAGTTTTTAGTGTTAATTAATGGTTATTATTAGTAACAATCAAATTAAAGAAAATTTTAATAAAAACTTAATAGAAACAAACAAATAAAAAATTTAAATAAATTTAACAAGCAAATATTAACACAAACAAATGCTCGATAAACAAAAAAATGATAAACCCCCTGTTTCAAATGCAAAGTAGAATAAAAATTTTAATGTAACTTTTTTTATTCTTGAAAAATGATATTATTAAGTGTTCATTATGTTTTTATATTTCATTTATTTAAAATAGATATTTTGAAATAATGAATCCATTTAAATCAACCATATAAAATGTAATAACGGATAAAGTTGGTACAATCATGGCTTCGTGTAGTTAGAGCAGTGAATAAAGTTTGGAATTAATACAACCATGATTTTGATTAATGTGGCTTCATTATTAAAAAATTTAAAGATATAAATCTAGTGAGGCTTCTTGTTTTAAAAAAAGTTATTTTTGACATATTATTCATATGATTTTTATTGCATTCTTATTAGGAATCTTGTTTTTATTATTGTCTAATGAAAATATATTTTAGATAAAATCTGATGAAGAAATTTTTTTTTAATTTGATGAGATTTTTTTTTTGATTACAAGCAGAGAAATTTTTTACATAAATTGTAAATAGTGCTAAATGCTAAACAAAGAAATAAATGCCTTGAATATTGGAGCCTATATTGAGTCCAGGAAAAAAAGTTTAACAAAAGAAAAAGAAGAATTGCACAGAAAGTCTATAGAATATAAACCTTCTAATTCAAATCATGAGATCACATTGTATGATTCAGCTGTAAATCAACATAGTAAGGTTAGTCTTTTAAAAAATATATAATACAAATCAACACTAATCTTTATTTTTTTATAAAAATGTTAATTAAATGGAAAAGAGAAAACCCTTTCTTATAGAATAGAAAGAGTTTTTCTTATAGAATAGAAAGAGTTTTTCTTATAGAATTAAAAGAGTTTTTCTTATAGAATAGAGTTTGTTCCTAAACAACATTGTCAAAGTAATTGTTGCTTTGTTAGATTTTTTTTTTGTTAGTATAACATTATTACTTTAGTAATAGTAAGTTATTGTTGATAATTGGTTTACTATGCTTGGCTGCAAATGTAATTTAATTTTTAAAATTGTATTTTGGGATGACTGTCTATTGCCTATTGATTTAACAATTCTGCATTGACAAGGTATTGATACTGTCATATACTATTTGAAGCAAAACCCTAAAATTGATAAACTCAGTAATTGTCGGTTGCTTTTGTTGAAATAAGTTTGAAAATGATTCTTGACCAGTTTTATGAATAATATGCATCATTCTATCAAATTTATTTTCAATCAATACATTAACTTGATGGATCTTAACTTGTTAAGAAGAATGCAGGTTATATGATAACCACTATCTATAAAAAATCTGTAGAAAATCTGCAGACGCTATCTTTAGAAAATCTACAGACACTATCTATAAAAAATCTACAGACATTATAACTTTTACATTATGAATCAGTGTCTGCTCCTGGAACCCAACATTTTCTACAACTGAGCTCTTAGATATAATAAATTTACATCTGTTAATTATATCAAGATAAAAGTTTAAATTCTAACACTTAATGCAATGGCTTGTGGGTATCTTATAAATATACTTTTATTAAGAAATCTTTAGTTTATACTAAACATCAGTTAATATATTAAAAAAGAAAACAAGAAAAATTATGTCTTACCTATGATAATAGCTTACAGTAACAAAGGAAGAAAAAAAAAAAAAAAAATAGAAATAAAAATAAAAAAAAAGATAAAAAAAGAACCTGAAAACAATATAGTCATCACCTTCCACTATAATTTTTACTAACACAAGATCTATTAAAGGCTCATTAATTTGAAATAAATTTTATAGTCAGAATAGTCATACCAATCAAATTGCTTCCTTTGTAACATGCTATTAGAACATTGTATTAAAACACACATTATTTTGTGTATATATATATATATATATATATATATATATATATATATACAGTGGCGTTCCTAGTTATGGTGTCACCCGGGGCGGCAAATAGGGTGTCACCCATATATTATATGTAATTATTTTTATATACAAAATTATTAAAGCAGGATTTAGAAACGTTGATACATGTAATTTTAAACCTTGTTTTCGACAATAATAATTTAGTGTCTATAACTCTCTATAAATAATTAAGAATATGTTTTCGAATGTTTTAGTTCGAATTAGATGGTTTTGATATTCTGCAATGTGATGCAGTACTAACATTGAAAAAATATACGAATAAGACTAAGAATGCTGATAAAGTGAAAAACGGTTAAAATCGCACCCACACAAAGTTATCCAAACCCAAACAAAATTTGAGTATATTTTGATTATGAAGAATTTTTTTAGACGACATTAAGTCTTTATTTCATTTTGTTTATATTATAAGAAGAAAGCTAAGCGATTATATTTTCTAAATAATGATAACTATATCTTTCAGCATTCAGCATTTCGTAGGTTGTGTAAATAAATACCCACTTATTTTTTTATGTTAGACTGTATATATATGTATATATATATATATATATATATATATATATATATATATATATATATATATATATATATATTTCATTTATGATTTTTTTTCCTTCATGTTGTTATTATAATTGGATTGATATTGTTATGTGTTAACAATATTATATTTGGCAGTGATCTTTATTGTAGCTATTTTTGTCAAACTATTTGACATTTTTAGTTTTCATCTAATAAATTTTTTGTTTTTTGTTTTATTTCTTAGTGATTGATTTATTAAAATTATTTTTCTCAGGTATTTAAATTTTTTGTAAAATTTTATTATTTACTTAGAGCTATACCATTTAGCTTAAGCTTTTTATTCCTGATTAGCATTATATTTGTTGTAGCGGTTTACTTTGTTGATACCATATTTTATTCTAAATTCTATTTTTTAGACAAAAATCTTTTACTCTATACTGAAGATCAAAAGTTTAATTTTTGGTTATCTTTCACAAAATATTAATATATTTATAATACTTATATAAATATAAATATGTTTATATGCATTTTTGACACTAATATTTGTTATGATCACAAAGCTAAGTTTTTTTCACCATCATATGTTACCTAGTTTTTAAGATAATTTTAGGTTTTGCATATCGTTTGTTCGGTTTCATTTTAATTAGTTAGCATAATTTGTAGTTGGTTTCTATGTCAGAGTTTTTTAAATGTTTTGTTTCTGTTTGATAAATTTAAAAACTTTTTCAAATAAAGCATGTAAAGCTTTTTCAAATAAAGCATGTAAAGCTTTTTCAAATAAAGCATGTAAAGCTTTTTCAAATAAAGCATGTAAAGCTTTATCTGGAAAAAATCAGAGTTCCTGGGTACATTTTCTTCTATTTATTGTCTTAGATTTATTAGTACTAAAAGTACTAATAAATCTAAAAAATTTTTGTTTTATGTTATTAATTTTTTAGCATTTTTTAGTGATTTAGTTTAGTTTTTAGGGGATTGGTTTTTAGTGGTTTAGTTTGGTCTTTGTGTGTTTTAATTGAAATTATTGTTTATTGGTCTTTACCATTTTTCTATCAGTGGTATGGTAAATTGTTTCAATTTTTCTATTATATCTTTATATTATTTTGTATTGTATTTATCATTTTCCTTTTTCATACTGTTTCTATAAAAATATGATTGGTTTGAAAACTTATTATATTGCTGCAGTAAAGTGTTGTTGGGATGGAGAAATCTTCAGCATTTATAGAAACACTTTATGACCAGCATGTTTTGAGTATTTGATATGAGATTATTGATATGAGGATATAATAGAGATGGGTTATTAGCTTTCAGTTTTGATTGATTTAACTATGTTGTGTATGTTTTGTATTGTTTTTAATGTTATACAGGTTTATACTTCCTCTCATGACGATGATAGTAAAGGTTGTCGTAGTAATCCTATGGAAAAAATTGGTAATTTTTTTACTTTGTTTTATTTTGTTTTTTGTTAGCACAATAATATACGTTTTTTTTTATTTGTTACCAGAGTTTACAAGACCATTTTTTAATTTTGAAGAATCTGAAAATCAACAAAAGAAATTAAAAGATGAAAGAAAGAATGATTATGCTGAATATTTAGCAGAGGTTCTTTTAATTATTTATTAGATATTTTATTTTATGTAATTACAGGGTTATTCATTCTTATATGCGCGTCTATTCATTTTTACATGCGTGTTTATTCATTCTTATATTTGCCTATATTCATTCTTTATATGTGCATTTATTCATTCTTATATGCATGTTTATTAGCAAGTCGATCCCCCATAAAATCTCTAATATAGTTTTATATAAACAATAAATTGGCTTTTATGTTTTTATATAGATATACTTAAAATATAAATTAGGTTGTTGCCAATGCAATTTATTTTAAAAATGGTTGCGGAGCCAGCGCTAAATTTATTTAATAATTATAAATAATTAAATTTAAATCTAGATAAATGAATATTTAGATGAATAATAATATAATCAATCAATAAATTGAATAATAAATTTAAACAAAGACCTAATACTAAATTAAATAAACCATCATTGAATGTAAAAAGTCTAAAAATGAATAGACACGCATATAAGAATGAATAACCCTGTATTATCAAGATCAAAAATTAAGTTTTGTAATAAAGTTTATTCAAAGAATTTTCTTTTACAATTTCATTCCTCGTACATATTTGTTGTCTAACTTTTTACAGATTCATTCCTTGTACACATTTGTTGTTTTGCATACTCATTTTCTTCAAACCTTGTAAAGAATTGTTTGTATGGTCTTAAACATATCAAAGTTTGATATATTCTTTCATAGTATTAAAATTTCTTTGGAAGCTTATGCTTTATATAAACTTTTTTTTTTTTTTCAAAATGTTTCAAAATAACTTTTTTTTAATTTTTTTAAATTTTTTGTTATGAATTCTAATTAAATGGTCAGTTTTTATTTTAATTATTCTTATAGAGAATTAGTTAAAAAGTTTTTTTTTACACTTTTCATAAATTAAATTTATTCTTATAAAAAATTAATTTATTGAAATTTACTAGTAAAATGACCAAAAAATAAGAATATCACTTTTATATTTGAAAAATATCAGCTGATAAATGTCAATCAAATATCAAATGATAAATGGTTGATATTTCTAACTGTTCAAACATCAATTCACTGATCAAACATCAGTTCACTGTTCAAACTTCAACTCATTTATATTTAAACATCAACTTATTGTTAAACATCAACTCTGTGATTGAAAATCTAGTTGTGAGTGAAAATTTTTTTTAATCACAGCTAACTGCTATGACTAAAAGATTCTATGGCTGTGAGGCAAGGGCTTGACTTACCTAAAGTTTTCGATATTAATATTATCGGTATTATTGATATTATTATTATTCGATATTTCAATATTATTTAAAGCTTTCGGTCTTGACTTATCTAAAGCTTTCGATAAGTTTGGTATGCTGGTTTTTTTCATAAGCTTGCTTTATATGCAATTTATTTTATTTTATTTTTATTATTTTATTATTTATCTGGAAAAGTTTTTAAGTTTATCATTTCTTTTTAATTACTTTAGTAAAGTTGTCTTCAAAAAATATTCTTCAATTTTAGTAACTTCTGGGGTACTTCAAGGTTTTGTTTTTTATCTTGTTTTGTTTCTTATCTACATTTATGAACTTCCTGACAACCTTACATCTAAAGTGGCTCTATTTGCTGATGACTAAGTATTACACTTCTGTCCTGACAAAAAGTCTTTTCTTTTTGATCACTTAGAACAGGCAGCTGATCTTGAATCTCACCTCTGTAACAGATTGGGACTTGCAGTTTCTTGTGAATTTCAACTCCAACAAAACTCTTTATTTACTGCAAAATCTATTGCATTACTGTCTACATTCCAATATTATTAAACATTAACATTATTCCTCTTCATCACATATTCTTGGATTATTGTTCACTACTGGCGTCTAATGGAAACAATTGATTGCAAAGTTAGCATCTGATTCCATTCTTTGTTTCCATTCATTCATTCCATCCAGTTTTCTCTCTCCTGATTCGATTCTCTACCTTTGCAAATCTCTTATTTGTCTTTATGGAATATTGTTGTCATATTAGGGCTTCTAATGATGGTTTTTCTATTTTAGAGAAGGTCCAAAAATGTATTTTAAACATAGTTGGACCTGCTTTATCTGCTAAGCTTGAGCCACTTTCCCATTGTTGTAAAGTTGCATCTCATTCTCTTTTCTACAAATAATATCATGGTAGCTGCTCAAAGTAGCTATCAACTTTAGTTCTACCAACCAAAACTTATTTTTGCTTGACATGTCATTCAGCAAAGTTGCATCGTTTTGTTGTTTCTGTCCCTGCATGCTTTAAAAACTTTTATTTGTCTGTTTTTTTTCCTTGCATTTCTACCCTTACAACACTCACCCATATTCATGTTTTCCTGACTACAAATATAACCTCTAAGTTCTTAGGCCTTCTGTCAACTGTTTTTTTGCTCTATAACTGTATTCTTTGTTTTGTATTAACTCCCAACTTAATAGTGGTTGCTTGCAGCTTTGTTGGAAGTGAGTGATTGCTTGCAGCTTTGTTGGGAGTGAGTGGTTGCTTGCAGCTTTGTTGGGAGTGAGTGGTTGCTTGCAGCTTTGTTGGGAGTGAGTGGTTGCTTGCAGCTTTGTTGGGAGTGAGTGGTAGCTTGCAGCTTTGTTGGGAGTGAGTGGTCGCTTGCAGCTTTGTTGGAAGTGAGTTAGAATGAAAAAAAAAAAAACTCACTGATCAAACAACAACTCATTTTTAAATATCGACTTTTTGAAAGAACCTTAAGACCTTAAATATCATAAAAGAAAGAATTTGGAATTAATGTCTTATTTTTATTATTATTTTCTTTTTTAAAAAAAAAAATTTAACTTTTATTTAACTGTTATTTCCAGATAATTATTAAGCATTGAAAAAATATATTTTTATGTGTCCAGGTGATTATTAAACATTAAGAATTTTGTTAGAAATATGAAAATTTATTTGATCAACTTTTATATCAAAAACATTTTTATTTAGCGTGAAAAAAAGATTTCAGGTATATTTATTTATTGTTGTACTTTATTGCTTTTGTTTTAGATTTAAATATTATTTGTTATTTTATATTGGCTACAACATTTTATGATTATTTATAATAATCATAAAATATTATAACCAATATAAAATAACAAATAAGTTATAGAAATAATATTTAAAGTTAAAACAAATATTATTTCTATAACTTATGTTACAATACAATTATTATAATGCCGTTTTAGTATTTTTTAATTAATTTTTTTTATAGTTATATATATTTCATTTTTTACTTTATTGTTTTTTTATTTATTTTTGTGTAGTTACTTAGTAATTTCGTTTTAGCCTACAAATCTTCATTAGATTATAGCTACAATCATATGGTTCAACATAAGAAAAAAGAAGAAGAGAAATACAGGTTTAGTTCTCACTAATTGCCAATGTTTTGAGTCGTCTGTTATCATAAAAAAGAATTAAAAATTTTATTTATGTCCTGAACAAGTTTTTAAAGTGTGTGTGTTTTCACTAAGAATAAAATTATATTTTCATATTTGATGAAAATTATAAAAAAGATTATTTTTACTTTTTTAACATCAGCAGTTTTATTTATTGTGAGAAAACTATTGATGCGTTTATTAAGTAGCGTTAAAAACGTCTTGGTATTTTTAATTGCATCACGTTTTATGTAATTAAACTTTAAATGAATAAGAATTGCAAAAATTGTGAGAAAACTATTGATGCATTTATAAAGTAGCGTTTAAAACTTGTTGGTATTTTTATTTGCATTGCGTTTTATGTAATTAAACTTTGATTGAATAAAAAATGCAACTTTAACAAATTTTAAAAAAAGTTTTTTTAACTAGCCTTTTAAACATCTTTGTACTTTATCTCACTCGCTCTTTTAAAGAAAAAAAGAAAAGTTTTTTTGTTATTAAATTTTGAATAAACGATAATGGAGAGATAAAATAGCTTTCAATCAAAGTTTTTTTGAAGGTATATTTTAAAATAAAAATGTATCATATTTAAATTATTTAATAATAATATAACAATGGGATGTTTGTTATTATAGAGCTTATAACAAAATTTTATTTGTATATTAAAATTTTTATTATATTATTTAAACAAAGCGTTTTCAACAAACCTTTTGACGGAATGAATTAAAAAAAGTTTATTATTTAATTAAAAGCGTTTAATAAAGAAATGTTTTAACATGAGAAATTTTTATAATTTCATTTCCTAAAAATGTTTGCTAATTATTAGCAGTTTTGTCTTCAAAATTTTCATTCGTTCTTTATAAAAAAGGAAAACTGACATTCTAATTTAAACAGAATGTCGTAAGTTAATAGAAAAGAAGTATAAAAAATTCAACAATCAGACATTTAAAATGTTGCTTATCAAATAAGTGATTAAATTAAAAGTAATTTTCAAAAGTTGATAAAAAGTAATAGTCTTTCTTCATTTTAATCAATGTAGAAATGCTGGCAAACTGCGCCATAAAAACCAATTTAAATAATGAGTAATTTAAATTTAAGTAATAAGTAAATGAACCAATTTAAATAGTCGCCTGGCAGGGCAACTCAACTGCATCAAAACACTATTTCCAGTAGCCCTTCGAAAGATTCGGGTGGCATTTGCCATTGGGTGACAACGATATAATTATATATATATATATATATATATATATATATATATATATTTCTATATTATTATATATTTTATATTTGTATCATAAAGAGTTGCATTTTCTTTGTTTATAAATTTATATTTTTATGTAAATGTATAAAGTCTTCCCCAAACACACCCAGCAAAGTATGCATTGGTTTATCAGAGACCGTGTGGAAAAAGAGATATGCAAACCGCAAACAAACATTTGCAAATAAAAAAAACTTTCAAATACAATCACTCTCTCAAAATATTTATGGAATACTAAGGAAAAACTCAAAGAAACATTAGAATTAACTTGGTCTATCAACTTGGTCTATCCTAAAAAAAGCCCCTACTTACAACAATACAACAAAAAAAAGTTTGCTTTGTTTATATTAAAAACTAATAATTTTACTTTATATGCTGAAGAGCTACTTAATAAAAAGACAGAGTTAATTTCCAAATGTTGTCACAAAAAATAAATTTCTATTAAGCAACCACAAACCTGAAGATTAGATACACTTAGTTGTAACAACAGTTTTTTCCGTATCGGATTTTTTCTGCATAGTTTTACATAACTAGTTATAATTGTATATAATTTTTTAACAAAAAAACATATTTGTATTTCATCTGATGATTACAACAGCAAGAAACCTAAAGTTGTGAAAATCACATTTTATTTTCTAATATATATATATATATATATATATATATATATATATATATATATATATATATATATATATATATATATATATATATATATATACACACACACACATATATATATATGAATTAGCTTATTCAGAAATTAGAAATTTATATTAAATATTTGATACAATAAAAAATTTATAAAGTTCTAATGAAGTAGTATGATACCAGGCACTACTATTCTGACAGCTCAAAGACACGCGCTGTGTCCATTTTTTTTTCTTTTTCCATCAATGTGATCTTTGAAAGCATTTTCTGAGACTGTGTAGGTTGTATTCAACGGAAGTGTGTTCCACGCATTTATCATGCACTAAGTGAAGAAATGCTTACTCTCTTCACAATTTTAGGCTAGTTGCTTATTTGATTGTTGGTTGCTTTCTCATAGGCAGTAATTTAATATTGATGGTGCATACACCTGTGGTACAACTAATTCTATTTTTTCGGTACCATGAATGAATTTAGTTTGCTGAATCAAATCACCTCGGTTTCTTCTTTTTTCAAGAGTTGATAGTCCAAGGATACGAAGCCTCTCTGTTTTTGTCACTCTATGTTAATTACACTCTAGAGTACATATATTTCATTGTAGATGTGGTGAATATCAAACTCAAGATGTGATCTGATATAAATGGTTTTCAAGACTTTCCACAAGGAAAGGCCTCTGCTTCTAAAGCTTTTTTAAGAGAACAATTGGCTCTTGCTGCTGCTGCTTCTACTTGATATTTCCCTTTCAAATCATAAGAAATAAATATTCCTAGTTCAGTTTTTGTGTTTTCAAGTAATTTTCTGTTTCCTAATTGATCGAACATTGTGTAGTCTTGAGTAGATTTGTTGATTAGACGTTTAACATGCATCACTTAGCATTTTTCTACATTCAACTCCATGAGCCATTTTTTAGGCTAATATACTACTTTGTCTATATCATTTTGTAATGTTACAGCATCTGCTTTAATCTGTATTACGCCTAAACTCTTGCTGTTGTCAGTGTATATCTTAAGTTGATATGCTATATTGTCTGGTTGATTGTTTATATAAAATTTTTTTTTTTTTTTTTTTAATTATCTTCGCTTCCAACAAGACTGCAAGAAACCACTAATTAGTGTTGGAAGTTACTGGAAGAGAAAAGATGAAGGTTGTAGAGCAAGATAACGATTGACAGATTACTTAAAAGATTGCAAATTATATGAATCAGGAAAGCAAGATGAAGGAAGCGAATTCCAAAGAACTGATGTTCAAGGAAAAAAACTAGACGAATAAGAGTTTTTGGAGCACTTAGGAACAGTAACAGAAAAAGGATGAGACTTAATTGAATGACGAGTAACACGAGAATGAATTTTAGTAGATGGCACAAGAGACGCTAGCTCTTTCAAGCAGTGTCCATTATAGTATTTGTAGAAAAGAGAAAGAGAAGCAACATTACAACGATGTGACAGAGGTTGAAGGTTGGCTGCAAGAGCAGGTCCAACTATGTTTACAATGCGTTTTTGCACCTTGTCTAAAAGAGAAAGGGCATCATTAGAATATCCGCCCCAGATATGGCAACAGTATTCCATACAAGGCCGGATTTGAGATAGAGAATAGAATCCAGAGTAAGAAAGTGACGAGCTCGATAACAAGCTCGATAAAGAGAAGCAACTTTAGCAGATGCTAATTTTGCAACGGATTTGATATAAGGTTTCTAAGAAAGATCAGAAGTAAGAGTTAATCCTAGAAGATGAAGGGTAGGAGACTCATCGAGTACATTACCGTTCATAAATATAGGAAGTCTAAATTATTGCGATAACGATTGGCCGAAAAAAATTGAGTTTTATCTGAATTAAAGTTCACCAGCCACTGTGAGCCCCATGCTGTAGCAGAAGTGAGATCCTTTTCAAGCTCAGATGCCCCCTGCAAGCAATCAGAAGGAGTTGGCTTCTTATTGTGACAAGAATAAATGGTAGTATCATCAGCGAACAATGCCACTTTACATGTGAGAATATCAGGAAGATTGTTAATGTAAATTAAAAAGAGTATAGGGCCAAGGATTGAACCTTGGGAAACCCCTGAGGTTACAGAATAAGAAGAAGAGTGCTGTCCATCAAGGACAACTTTTATACTACGATTGGAAAGAAAGTATTCAATAATCTTAAAGATGTTTCCAGATACACCGTAAGAAGAAAGCTTATGGAGAAGACCAGCATGCCAAACTTTATCAAACGCTTTAGAAATGTCAAGAGCAATGGCCTTAATCTCTCCACCTTTATCTAATGCGCGATAAAACCTATTGGTTATTACTGATAGCAAATCAGCCGTAGAAAGAGAAGATCGAAATCCATATTAATGATCAGAAAGTAGGTTATGAAATTCGAGATAAGAGATTAAGTGTTTGTTAATTAAAGATTCAAAAACCTTTCTTATGATAGGAAGAAGACTAATGGGACGGTAGTTAGATGAATCAGATCGCTCTCCAGAATTTTTAAAAATAGGGATAACAGATACTGCTTTCCATCAGGCTGGAAAACAAGACTCTGATAAGCACTTGTTAAATAGTTTTTAAAGGATAGACGACAGCTCCGGAGAACACTTCTGCAAGACTATAACAGGTATGTTGTCCGGGCCGCAAGCTGTAGAAGAGTCTAAGCGGGAAATCACTTTAGATACAGAAGCTGGAGTGATACGAATGTGGAGCAATGGATCAACCTGTTTGACGGCTATATCAGGTAGAACGCAACTAGTGGCATCAAGAGATGATATTGATGAAAAGTTCTTGGCAAACAGTTCAGCTTTGTCTTTAGATGAGGTGACAAAGTCTGAACGATACAAAAGAGGTGGAATTACAGACTTGCCCTTATTATTGATACTATTAAAGATTCTCCAGAAGTCACGAGAGCCTAATTTTTGTGATGAAATACGAGATTTCATGATCTGAGAATAGCGGGCTTTGGCGTTAGACAAAACCTTTTTACAATGATTCCTAGCAGTAATAAACAGACGTCTGTTTTCTGGAGAATTGTTTTGCTGATAGATATGGAAGTAATGGTTTCGATTAACTGAGCACTGACTAGGATCAGAAACAAGATATAAGTTGAGTAGAGAAGGTAAATGATTCGGGTTGTCTGGAAAGCGAGTTAGAAAGTTGACTTTTGATTGAGAAAGATAAAAGTTGTGGGCCTTAATGCCTGCAGAGTCACTGACACTAGAGCCAAGCCATTCAGTGTGATGAACATTAAAGTCACCGACAACAACAATATTGGCTGATGGATAAAGAATGAGGGCTTGGTCAATATAATCAGAAATAACATCAAGAAGAGTGCAGTCTTGAGATGAGGGAAAGCGATATAGAACAAAGAGAAAGGTGATAGAGTGAAGTGGTGCTAAACGAAAGCACATAAAAGAGTAGTCTGTGGATTTAAACCTAGTTTCCCGACAAATGGGTGAATTCTTACGAATGTAAATGCCCAGACCAAGCATGTGACTATTGGAGTCTTTACGAATTAAAGGAAGATAACCATCAACACTGAGATCACAAGATGAGACAGCTGAACTCAAATTAGTCTCACAAAGAGCAAGTAGGTCTGGTAAACTTTGCAAGAGATAAGACTCAACAGAAGAAAAGTTACTTCGAAGACCACGAATATTGGTGAATGATAGGTTTAGCAAACTTGGTGATGACTGTGGTTTTTTGTGTTTTATAGTTTTTGTTAATTTATTTATTTTCAAATTTGGCAATGCACACCAAAAGTACAAACAGGGACACCATCCATGCGCAACATGGCACTGTTAGTACTCTGATATTTTTCAGCTGTTGATGGAATCAGCCTTTCTTAGAGCTACCGCAGAATTCGGGGAACCTGACTACCAGCCGCCTCAGAACCATAAAACTGAGTTTTAGAGCTGTACCCTCATTTGGAGATAATAGAATGAGTTGCCTAGTCATAAAAACAGAGACACAAGCAAAACCCATGAATCGTGTCAAGAAGATCCAGCGTTCAACATCCTTAACTGGAAACAATGTATTAAAAATACATCTGCGCCAGCCTAATAGATGAAGAAGGGGTGCGAGGCTGGTCAACAGATAGAATCTGTTTACCCTTTAAGTATTAATAATAGAGGTCTAAGCACTGAACCCTATGAAACACCGCTTGTGACTTTTTACCAATCTAATTTATAATTACCAATTGTTACCCTCTGTTGTCTGATTGTACCCTATAATGTCGGTTTGCTAGTTAGATAGCTATCCACATTGGCATGTTCATGTAAGAATTTAGGGTCTGATTTAAATTGTTTGGGAATTTCTTTTTCATATTTTTTGGTTGCTTTTTAGACTATCTTAGTCTCGTTTTTACATGTGGCTCAATGTTCTTTTTATTTGCTTCGTGAGAATTTTTGCCTGCATTAAGATCCAGAGTATTCTTTTATTTTTAACTGCCTTCTTAACCTTTATTGAAAAAAAAGAACCTCCACGGTTCTTTTTTTTCAATAAATGGTTTTGTAGTTGATGGAATGTACAAATCAACTGCCTCGTTGTACTTGTCCATGAAGACCAAGTAGTTATTATTCACCAGAAATTTTTTGAATTTGTTGTTTCAATCACATGTTAGTACTCATGTTGAAATAGTTTGCTTAACTCCAGATGTATCTTATTTTTCAAGTTATTTTCATTTGTATAGTTCATTGTGAATGATCCAATAATAAAACAGTGAGATACCTTTCTGGTGTATGGAGAGTCACCCTTTTCTAATTCCTCAATTTTGTCAAGGTAATCTTTGATTATAAGGTCAAGTGTGCTTTTTGTATATATATATATATATATATATATATATATATATATATATATATATATATATATATATATATATATTTATATATATATATATATTTATATATTTATATATATATATATATATATATATATATATATATATATATATTTATATATTTATATATATATATATATATACATATATATATATATATATATATATATATATATATATATATATATATATATATATATAAATATATATATGTATATATATGTATATATATATATATATATATATATATATATATATATATATATATATATATATATATATATATATATATATATATATATATATATATATATATATATATATTATATATGTTTATATAATAGATATGAAAAGTATAAAGTTCAAGTTTTCAAATCCAAATTTTTTAAATAGAGATTTTTAATTTTTTAAGTTAATGATTTAACTTAAACTTAGTAAAGAAAATAATAGATTGTATGATTTTTACTTCAAAGCAAAAAAATATATTTATTTGTAGTATCCTAGTAACAAAGTTGTTGTTTGCTTAAAATTTTTTATTATTTTGTTAGGGTTCAAATGGGTGATGTATTAAAAGAAAGGTTTTAGTTACTGTTACTACGATTTTTTGTTATTAAATTAAAAAAGCTTTTAGTTACTGTTATTTATTACAATTTTTTTTTGTTTATTGACAAATATTAAATTTTATTCTTTTAAGTGCGAAAAAAAAAGTTATTGAATTTGATTCTGATGAAGAAGAACTCTTTCAGCAGGTAAATTGTTATAAAAATAGGTTAGTAGTAAGTGACTGGGGTTCATATTTGATTGGGGCCGGGTATATGACGGAGGCTGCATAAATATTGATAGATCATAAGGATCTATCAATGTTTATGCAGCTCTGTCATTTTTTTATTCCAGATTCTTGTTAAAATATAACATGAATCTGGAATAAAAAATTTTTTTTTTATTCTTGATTCTTGTTATATTTTATATGCATCATCATGTATATCAGTGTTTCACATGAAGATGTGGGAATGCACATCTTTATATCACCACACATGCACAATTTTTGTTTTACTGACTTGGCCATAACTTTTAAATAGTTTGATAATTTTTGTGTGTTTTAAAAATGATACTTAAAAAGAAACTAAATTAAATAAAAATGAAAACAAAATCTATAAACTGAAAAATGAAAATAATTCTTAACCCAAGTGTAAATTAACAAGTAAAAAAGTAAGCTATAAATCAAATTTTTATCTTAAAAATTTAGAAGCGTTTTGCTTTATAGACTTTTATAGCAAGTTATAGCAGAAATGAATAAGCTGTTTTCTTTTTTTTATTTTTAGGGTGCCTGCTATTTCCATCAACAAGGTTCCCACTTTAACTGGAAAACCTGGAATACCTGGAAATAGCATGAATCCCAGAGAAAATCTGGAAAACTTAGGGATTTTTCAAAAGTTTTATAAAATTCAGGGAAAACTCAGTTTTATAAAATTCCGGGAAAACTCAGTTTTTTAAAATTCAGGGAAAATATTATTATTTTTTTTAATAGTTTGCTAACAAATATAAAAATAAGTTTGCAAAATGTGTGTGTGTAAAAGTTTTAGTTTTTCAATAGTGTTTAATTAAGGAAAATAATAATCTCACTGATAAACCGGAAAGAATATAGAAAAGTCAGGGAAAACTCAGGGAAAACTCAGGGAACTTAAAAAGTTCAACTCAGGGAAAAATGTTCTTTACTCAGGGAAAAACTTTTAAAATTATAGTGGCAACCCTGATCAACGAAATTTGATAAAAGCGAGAGAACAAAATAGATTATATGTCCAAAAAATTTAAATAGAAATAAAACATTTACATCACGCAATTTATTTGAGAATTATATAAATATAAAGAAAGAACAATTTTTTTATTCAATTCAAAGTTGTAAAATGTAAAGTGTTTAATAACTTCAATTATGTTTTTAAAAAATAATTTTTTTTTAATTTTTTTATAAAATGTGAGTGGATGAAATATGAGTTTTAAATGATTTTATACATGAATTATCAATAAGCATATAATAAACTACACCTAGGGCTGCCAAATGTCTGAAACAGGGTCTGTACCAAATATCTAGAACCGGGCTTGCATCATACTATGCTTTATTCAAGGTCTTTTATCTGAAAGAATAGCTATAAATAATGGTAAAAAAAATTTATTCAAAGTTAACTTGTCTAGTAGTTTGTGAGAAATTATGGAAACTTAAAAAATCTTAAATTATCCAAATATTTTGGTGTTAGCTGAGTTGTGCTTTTGTTTAATGTCAACTAACAGCGCAGTTAAAAGATGTTTTAGCGCATTGACCACTAAACTTTCAGATAAAAGACATCAAATCATAGTACCATGGAAGAATGCATGCTAATTGTTGGGAGTAACCATGTATAGTCTTATGAAGATGAAAATATAATATAAAAACTTGCTGTAAGTGAATATTTAGAAAAACATAGAACAGTTAAATTTTAATCTTAAAACAAAATTAACATTGCCAAAAATCTTATAAATATCAATGATTCTCATGTTAAGACAATTAAAAGTAATAACAGTTCATCAGATAGTGAACTATTGGGTTCAGAAGAAGTATATATTGAAAATGACAATTTGTCTAACGAGAACAATGAATCCACCGAAATACAATCATCGGATAATAAATCATTAGGTTTTGATGAACAAGTAGAAGAATTTAGCTAAAAAGACGATTAATCTTTTTTTTTTTTCAACATCTTCACTTCCAACAAGGCTGTAAGCAACCACTATTAGAGTTCTAAGGTACTGGAAGAAAAAATATGAAGTTTATAAAGCAAGGTAACAATGAAGCAATGTTCATGCAAAAAAACTAGAAGAATAAGAGTTTTTGGAGCACTTAGAAACAGTCACAGTAAAAGGATGAGACTTATTTGAATGACGAGTAACATGAGAATGAATTTTAGTAGATGGCACAAAAGACACTAGCTCTTTAGAGCAGTGCCTATTAAAGTATTTATAGAAGAGAGGAAGAGAAGCAACATTACAATGATGTGATAATGGTTGGAGGTTGGCTGCAAAAGCAGGTCCAACTATGTTTACAATGTGTTTTTTCACCTTGTCTAAAAGAGAAAGGGTGTTGTTGGAAGATCAGTGCCAAATATGCCAACAGTATTCCATACAAGGATTGATTTGAGATTTATAGAGATAAAGAATAGAATCCTAAGAAAGAGTAAGAAAATGGTGAGCACAGTAAAGAAATGCAACCTTAGCAAATGCTATTTTTGCAATTGATTTGATATATGGTTTCCAAGAAAAATTTGAAATAAGAGTTAATCCTAAAAGATGAAGGGTAGATGACTCATCAAGTACATTACCATTTATAAATATAGGAAATTATAGATATAATAGATTATTTTGAGAACAGTTAGTTGAAAAAAATTAAGTTTTATCTGATAAAAAGTTCACCAGGCCTACTTGATCTTTGTTAGACTAATTTGAGTTTAGCTGTCTCATCTTGTGATCTTAGTGTCAATGGTTATCTTCCTTCAATTCGTAAAAACTCCAATAGTCACATGCTTGGTCTGGACATCTACATTTGTAAGAATTCACCCATTTGTCAGGACTGTGGATTCAAACTAGGGTTGAATCCACAGAATATTCTTTTATGTGCTTTCATTTAGCACTAATTTACTCTATCACCTTTCTTTTTCTTCTTTATTTTTTTCTTTTTCTTCTTTATTACTCTTCTTTATCTCAAGACTCTTTTCGATGTTATTAAGAAGCCAACACTCTCTGATTAGTTGTAAATTTGAGCTTGAAAAGGATCTCACTTCTGCTACAGCAAGAGATAAGGCTCAACAGAAGAAAAGTTACTAAAAAGACCACAAATATTAGTGATTCATAGATTTTAAGAACTTGGTGATGACAATGGTTTTTTGTATTTTATAGTTTTTGGTACTTTAGTTATTTTTAAATTTGTTAAAAAATTTGACTCAAAGTAAAGATAGAACTTAGTACACTATTTAATAATCCAAGTAATTGCCTTATTACTATTAATAATACCTAAGCCTTAACAAAAGGCTTCAAATGTGGCCTCTACAATGCACACCAAAGGTACAAACAAGGACACCATCCATGCGCAACATAGTACTGTAGTACTCTGATATTTTATAACTGTTGATGGAATCAGCCTTTCTGAGAGTTACCACAGAGTTCCAAAAACCTGACTACCAGCCGGCCTCAGAACCATAAAACTGAGTTTTAGAGCTGTACCCTGATTAGGAGATAATAGAATGAGTTGTCTTTTCATAAAAACAGAAACACAAGCAAAACCCATGCATGGATTCAAAAAGATCCAACATTTAACATCCTTAACTGCAAAAAATCTATTATAAATGTATCTATGCCAGCCTAATAGATGAAAAAGGGGTGTGAGGCTGGTCAACAGATAGAATTTGTTTACCCCTTAAGTCAAAGATGAGTATTTTTATCAAGGCACCATTTCTAGCCTTTACTCAACCAAAAGCCAACTTTCAGCTAACACGGCAGACAAATGTGTACAGATGATGAAATAAAATGTATGAATAAAACATTTAATAGTAAGTGTTATCTCCAGGTAAACTTAAACCAACACAATTATTCTCTCTGACATAATCTACAAATTGTTCAAAACAAAATGATATCTTATGATGTTTCAAAACAAAATGATGATCTCCATAACTTTTTATAAATTTACAATGTAAACTTGTTTATAAATATATAAATATATTGTAAAAATAGATAAAAAATGATTTGCTCCCTTGCCGTATTGAGATAAAACATACAATTTTTTTGAAATATTTTTGTAAACATAATTTAAAAGTTGTCCTTTTTTTTTATTGACATAATTCTCAAATAGATTGCAATAAATTGTTAATAAATGTTTTTTTTTTTAAAATTGCTAATACTGCGCTTGTGGGTTTGTATCTTTTTTTTAAATACTTTCTTTTTGAAAAATTTTTTTTTTTTAAATAAAATTAAAAAATATAACTCACAACATAATTTTGTCTAATATTAATATAAAAATATATTACATATGTGGGAGGACAAGGGTGGCAACGCAAATGAAATATTTATAATATATCTTGTTTTACTTTTATATAAAAAAATGTTATCCTTTAAAAAAATATGTTCTGCTCTTTTAATCCGGGAGGCTTAATAAGCACAAATTGGCATAAGTGTGAACTAGCATGAGCGAAATAACAATTTGCGTTATGCCAATATTTGCAATTTTATTTGACACACTTATGTCAGTTCGCACATTTGGGATGCTTAATAAGCGCAAATTAGCATAAGTGCGAACTAGCATAAGTGCGATGTGTTGCAAAAACTGGCACAAGTGCAAACTGGCATAAGTCCGAATTGGCATAAGAGCTAAATAACAATTTGCATTATGCCAATATTTGCAATTTTATTCGTGCGCACTTATGCCAGTTTGCACTTATGCCAGTTTGCACTTATGCCAGTTCGCACTTATGCCAATATTTGCAAATTCTTTTGGCTCACTTATGCCAGTTCGCTTTGTGCCAGTTTTTGTAACTGCTTTGCACTTATTCCAATTTGCATATATGCCAGTTCGTACTTACACCATTCGCACATTGAGCTCGATTTAATTTCAAATGTCTTGACATTGCTAAATATCGTGACTCTCTGTAAAGACCAAAAAGAAGAAAAAAAATATATAGCAAAAACATTTTCTAAAAAGTTGATATTTTATAATCTTTTCTTTCACTCAATCTTCTGATCTTTTACTCAACTTTCTTTGTTGTCCATAGCCCGCTAAAAACTAACATTTTATACAAAAATTTACCAGATAATTGCTTGCAGCTTTGTTTAGAATAGTCATAGTAATTGCATAGCAAATCTTTCATTTCTAAAATAGGCTAATATTGTTTGTGGGTTTGTAATTTTTTTTTAATATATATTATTCTCTTTTAAAATAAATTTTTTTATTTCAAAAATCGGCTAAAATTGCTTGTGTGTTTGTATTTGTATTGCTTGTGGGTTTGTATTTGTATTGCTTGTGGGTTTGTATTTGTATTGCTTGTGGGTTTGTAAAAAAAATATTAAAAAAAATCTTTTTTTTAATATTTTTTTTTTTTTTAATTATTTTTTTAATAAAATTAAAAAAGTAACTTACAAAGTTATGTTAACTTTGTTTAATATTAATATAAAAATATAATACATCTGTAGGAGGACGCGGGTTGCATTGCAAATGAAATATTTGTACATTATCTTATTTTACTTTTATATAAAAAATTTTTATCTTTTAAAAGAAAAATATTCCGTTCCTTTAATCAACAAATACTCCGTTTCTTTAGGATAAAAAGCTCGACTTAATTACAAATGTCTAGACAAACACATTGCTAAATATTGTAACTCTCTGTAAAGACTAAAAAGTAGAAAATAAAGTATAGCAAAAACATTTGCTAAACACATAATCTTTTTGTACTAAAAAGTAGAAAATAAACTTTTTAATTTAAATTTAATAGTTCCGTAAACTAAAGATCGACAGGTATTTTCTAAATAAACCTTACACAGACCTGTCAATCTTTAGTTTACGGAACTATTAAATTTAAATTAAAAAGTTTATTTTCTACTTTTTAGTAAAAAAAATTATGTGTTTAGCAAATGTTTTTGCTATATTTTATTTCAGTTTATGGTTTTTATTTTCATTTTTATTTAGTTTACTTTTGTTTTTAAGTGCCATTTTTAAAATGCGTGAAAATTATCAAACTATTTAAAAGTTGTGACCAAGTCAGCAAAACAAAAGTATTACACGAGTGGTCATATAAAGACATGCAATTACACGTCTTCCTGTGAAACACTGTGTATGTATATATTCTAATCATGATCAACATTATCATCTTTCATTCTCTCTCCTCGGTTTTAAGTCAAGCCATCCTAGTTATTCAAGTCTTTCTAATCTATTAAGCCATTCTACGCCAAATTTTTCATCTTCTTGTGCAATTACATTATTAAAACTGTAATCATTTTTTTACCAAAACATCTCTCTTGAGAACTAATGTCTTTTTATTATTTCAAGGAGTCAATGTAAAAAGGTCTTGTCTGAAGCTCTGTTATTTTCAGTTTACTAAATCTCTTTTTATTATTCCAGTTAAACATATTAACACATTGTTAGACATCCAAATCATTCTGGAGTCAATTAAACTCTTCTAAGGTTTGTGGTTTAGACAACCTTTTTATCATAAACTTATGAGTGTTTTCCAGAATTCTCTGTAATTCTGGCTAAACTATTAAAAGTGTTAAGTGATTCCAATTTTAAAAAACTTTAGAAAACACTGACCTCTCCAACTTTCCTTGTAAGGTTCTATCTTTGTGTTGATTCTTATCAAAAATAATGATTGTCTTGATAATCTTACACCTATAGTAGCTCTATTTGCTAATGACTCAACTTTATACTCTTGTCTTGACAAAAAGTCTTTTATATATATATATATATATATATATATATATATATATATATATATATATATATATATATATATTTATATATATATATACATATATATATATATACATATATATATATATATTTATATATATATATATGTATATATATATGTATATATATATATATATGTATATATATATATATGTATATATATATATATATATATATATATATATATATATATATATATATTTATATATATATATATATGTATATATATATATATATATATATATATATATATATATATATATATATATATTTATATTTATATATAAAAGTGGTAAAAAGAAAACATTACAACTATCACGCTACAAAGAGTTAATTTTTGAAAAATTTTAAGACTTAAATTTTTGCATACTAAACTGTATGATAATATTTCACATTTTGAGAAAACTTCAAGTCATTTACATTTTGGTTTGTTTTTAATAGCTTAAAGAGTGTCAAATGTTACGACTGTCACTCTCATGGAATTGCCCATATATATATAAAAGCCACTATTTAATAAATAGTAAATATATATAATAAATATACATAAATTTACAAAGTACAAAGTATATTACAAATTTTTCCCTGCCCTATCTATCAACCCTAAATCCTATAATTTTGTCACGCCTGGGGCCTGGTTTGTTAAAAGTTCCATTTTAAGCTAGGGTCAGAGCTGGGACCCTAGTCACTAACTACAAGTAAGTTATTATAATAACCAGTATGTTGGTATGACAACATATTGTTGTCATACCAACATAACAGTATAATGTTGTAACAATGTTTTTTTTTTTTTTTAATGGGCGTTGTTGTTTTTAATAGTTGTTTTTTTTCAATAGATTGTTGTTGTTTTTTATATTTTGCTGTTGTTGTTTGTTAATAGGTGTTGCAGGCAAAGAATAGAATTAAAAGTGCTGATGAAACTAAGCGAGTGTATGATTTTATTTTTTTATTTTTTCAATAAACATATAGTTTTACTTTTACAATGGGCATTTAGTTTTATTTGTCCAAATCACCATAACTTTATTTTTACATTTAGTGTATGGTTGTATTTTTTTGATTAATATATGATTTTGCTAATACTGAAAATATTTAAACATGTAAATTTGTTTTTAAAATTGTTTTCAGGACAAAATTAAACGAGCAAAAAAGATCTTCAACATTTGACAATAGTCATAAGTCATATCCATTTTTATCTATATTTGAAGGTATTGCCAATTGATTGAAGAAAATGCTTCAAAATTACTTCTAACTGTAATTATAGTTATTACCAACACAATTTTTTTAGTGTAGTTAGTTGTTTTAATTGATTTGAACTTATAGATCACACAAATTCTTTAAAAGCAGAAAAAAGTAAACAGTACAAGAAAGAATTAGAAGATCAAATAAAAGAAAAGGAAAAACTTAAAATGAGGTAACAAACTCTTAATAGCTTTTATGTTGTTTTTTTAAGATTAAAAATGTAAACCATATGCCTATAAATGTAAACCATATGCCTATAAATGTAAACCATATGCCTATAAATGTAAACCATATGCCTATAAATGTAAGCCACATACCATATATAAATGTTCTCTTTACCTTGTTTTTAACCAGATACATAACATTTAGGTGCCATATTATCTAAAAATTATTTAAAGTTTTGCAAAAAAGAAATAAAATAATTTTTAAGTTGTTTTAGCACATTTTGTGTTGGTATTGTACATGTATAGTGGTTGTAATGTACAAGGTTGTAATGTACACATTTTGTCATATTTTAGCACAGGTTTCAAGACATAAAGTTGTAATGTACAAGGTTGTAATGTACAGGTGTAGTGGTTGTAATGTACATGTGTAGTAGTTGTAATGTACAAGGCTGTAATGTACGTTTTCTCAACTTGTTTCTCCACCCAGCAGCCTTGTTTGTCAAGGTTTGTTTTTTGGAGTTGAAGAGTTGAGAGAGGGTTATAACCACTATTAAGTAGCCTCCTTGTTTGTAGTGGCCTTCTCGGCCTTGAGGAGGTGAATAGCAAAAAAAAAAAAAAAAAAAAAAAAAAAAAAAAACATGTGTATTGGTTGTAATGTTAATGTGTAGTGGTTGTAATGTACAAGGTTGTAATGTACATGTGTAGTGGTTGTAATGTACAAGGTTGTAATGTACATGCAGTGAAGAACCCAGAGTTTATTTGGAGACTGTTTTTTTTTCAGCAACGTTGAGATGGGGGGGCGGGGGGCGGGGGAATTATGTTTTTGATTTCCCCTCCCCCTCATTCTCCCCTAGTTAAACGGGTGGGGTGCCGCAACAATAAATTTTAATCATCATTTCCTTAATAATCATTTATGTTTATCTTGTTCAGTTTTTTTTTTTTTTTTTTTTTTTATTTTAATTCACCTCCTCAAGGCCGAGAAGGCCACTACAGACGAGGAGGCTACTTATTTGTGGCTATAACCCTCTCTCAACTCTATAACTCCGAAACACGAACCTTGACGAACAAGGCCGCTGCGCGGAGAATCGAGTAGAGCGCGGTACTACCAGGGACGTGGTGGGGATCGAACTCGGAACCACTCGTTTATGAAGCGAGCGCTCTACCACTACACCACTACCGCGTTTTATTCTATAATAAGGTATTGATTTAAAGGCATTTTTTGAATACATGAATTTACTGGTGGATGATGTTACTTTAGCTAAAAGAAAACTATTTTACTTAAGATTTTAATAAACGCTTTTGCTTCATATACCTCGCTATTAGTAAACAATTATTGAAAGTTGTTTAAAGTATTTTAAACAGTTATTAACTATATTTTAGAAAATTTAATTTAAAATAATTAAAAATATTTTAAACAATTTTTAATCAATATTTACATTACATAATATATTTACATATATTATATCGCGTAATATTTGTAAAATTAACAAAATAGTTTTACGTTTTGTATTTGAATTAAAAACATAAGCATTTAATAAACTTATTTTCTATTATTTTAAATTTAAAATTTTGATTTAAATATTAGTAAATCTGTTCATTTAACTTTTATTAAAGGTTATAATTTTTAAAGTGATTTTAAGGTGCCTTTTAAATTAAAGATAATTACAGTAAACATAATTTAAAATATATTCCATTATTTTGATTAAAACCATATTATATTTTTAAAAACATATATTTAAAAAAAATATATTTTTAATTTAGCCTTATGCTGAATGGATATTTAAAAGCGCTTTAACTTTCAAAAAAGCAAATCTTTTATACATTGTTACAAAATTTTTTAGCGTGGTTTTAAAATTAAGTTTCGTTACGACTTTCATTTTTTTAAAACTTAAGTCCAGTTGATAACCAAAGGCAAATTACGTCACGTAGTCATGTAAAAAAGCAATTTCTTTTTCATTCTTTATATTTTCCTGAAAAAAAATTATTAAACTGAGAATTACTTATATACTACTGAATTTAAAACTAAATTTTTTTTTCTATTTTTCAATCACTTGTCATGCAAATTATTGTACAACAAAATCCAAGTAACTGTCACTTACTACTTTTAATTGCCATTGCATATGAAAATAAAAATAAAATATGTTATGGCTATGTAGTTGTTGGCAGGTTTGGGGTCAAATATGTATTTTTATTTGAAATTGTATTTGTATTTGGTAGTTATGGGCTAAATTAGCGAATTTATATTCGTATTGTATTTTTTAAATAATTGCAATAATTTTTCTAAACCTAAAATACAAATATTTGTATTTGTATTTAAATGTTTGTATTTGGAAAATGCTGATTACATATATTTGTATTTAAATTTGCATTTGGAAATTTGAAATTAATGTATTCGTATTTGTACTTGCATACTTGGTCAGGAAGCGGGTGCGATTGCACTCTTTTTCTGACCACGCAAATTGTATTTAGTTGTGACAACTTGGCCATGGCTTTTTAGATGTTTTGAGAACATTTTAATTTATGTATGTTTCTATGTGTCTGAAACTTTTTGAAACGCTAAAACAATTAAATTCATAAATAATCTTTTGTAATCAAATGATTTAATATTACCAAAGCGCTTTTAACTAAGCCATGATTTACTTTTTCATCGTTTATAAAAAGAAAATTTTTAATTTTATTTTTTAAATTGCATAAAGTTAAGTAAGTATTTTTAATAATTATAATAAATCATTATGTAAATAATAATATAGATTTTTTATTCTTTAAATGTAAATCTTTTTAAAATGTTTGTACGATTGATTTTATAAATATAAGACTTTCAACAACAACTGCGTTTTAAATAAAATTTGGAAAATAATAATCATCAAAGTTAATAAAATTAATAGTCAAATAAACAAACAGGAACTTACAGGCAACTGAACATAGACATACATATATACATAGTGAATTATGAGTGAATAAACACTGCGCCAGAGGGTCAAACAAAACATAAACATACATTTATATAAAGTGACTTACGGTGTACCAGCACCGCGTCAGCGGTCCATACAGAACAAAAACATACAAATTTATTAAAAAGCTTAATCACTAAATACATCATTGGTATTCTGAAGCAGTTTTAATTATTTCTTTTTCAGTTTTAACAACGCAACAATTTAATTATTTCTTTTGCTTATCTTACTTAATAAGAATTGTTTTAAATATTTTAAACTTTACAAACTAGGCAAAGCATAAAATGGTTTTTAAAATACTTTTTTCAATTAATTTTTTATTTATTATATAATTCAACTACCGTTAGTTTTATTAGAATCTTTCTGAAATAAAACATAAATACTTAAATAAAGAATTATATTATACGCTTTGATAAATTGAAGAACATTTATTTCTTTACTAAATGATCATTAATAGTAAGTTAACTTTTTATAAAAGTGTTGCTTAATTATATTAAAAAAATTTATAAATTTATAAATAAATTTATAAATGAGAGTAGTTTAGAAATAGTTTGTTCTAAACGTAATTTATTTTGTATTAGTTAAGTTTTTTTTCTTTGTTAAGAGCTCATTTTTTTTTTTTTAGTTAATTTTTGTAGTTGTTGTCTCCTGTCACGTTAAGTTTTTCTTTGCACTTCATGAAATTTTCTCAAAATATCTAAAAGTCGTGGCTATGACGTTGCAACTAAATATTATATGCATGGTCAGATATAGAGTGTGATCGCACCGCTACTCGACCAAGCCTGTACTTGATCATGGCTCTGTTTGCTGATTACAACTAACATAATTATATACTTCAATCTTGACAAAAAATCTCTTCAATGTCAATTTTTGAATTTTAATTGTCAATTTTTGAATTTACTTTTGAATTTAGTGAATATATTTTTAAAGTATAATTCAAACTAAACACCATGAAAGAGAAAGAGATGCAACCCTATTACCCTGAAAGAGAAAGTTATGCAACCTTACTACAATAAAAGATAAAGAGATGCAACCTTACTACCATGGCACAGAGGCTCAAACTTAACAGTTAGAGTAGGTCCAACAACATTTACATCAGTTTTTCAGACCTTGTCTTAAAGGAGAGGATCTCTTTAAAAGAACCAGTCCTGGTATAAAAACAGTATTCCATACAGAATATTTATAGAGGTAATGGAGTAATAAGAACCAAACATGATAGAGATCTGAGCACAAGCTAGGGTCAGAGACAAGAAGTGATTAAAAAAGACAAAAGCAAAATCTAGAAGTTAAGTTAAGTGATTAGTGTTGTCTTGAAGGTAAGTAGCATTTAGAAGTGAAGTAACTTCAAATTTATAAGTGATTAGTGTTATAGAGTAAGATAATTATCTGAGTTTAGAGATTGAGACAAAAAATTTTAACTTTAGAGCCAGCAAAAGTTAATCTAGAATCAAGCCAATCAGTGTGATAAGGTGATAAGCATAAAAGTCACCAATAACAACATTATTGGCTGATAGACCTAAGTATATGTCCATGCCAAGCAAGTGGCTATAGGTATCGAATCAAAAGATAATAGATATCATACAAATCAAAAGATAATAGACATTATGTTTAAGATCCAAAGATTAAATAGCCCAATTTAGTCTAACAAAGAGTCTTATGAATTTTGTAAAAGGTGAGAGAAAACAAAAGGAAAATTACTTCAAGATTATAGGTGCATACATACACAATTAGTAATATATGACACTTTAAGTAGTAGCACCCGTGATAGTTAATGCAGTTACCTCATTCCTGCTAATCAAAGTCTTAACAAAACTCATACTTATAACTCAGTCAAAACAAAAAGCTCTTCATGTGGCCATGAAAATGAATACGAAAAGTGTTAACAGACATCTTTGATGCTTACAGAATGACACTGTTACTACTCTGATATTTTATAGCTGTTGATGGTATCAGCTTCTCTAACAGCTACCGCATAGTTCATGAAACCTTATTACCAGCTGGCCTCAAAACCATTAAACTTATTTTTAGAGCTCATGGTTTAAAAGTCAGAGTTTAAAGTCTTGACTTGAAAATGGCAAGAACAAAAGGAGGCACAATTTTTAGCAAAGTGAAAAAAAGGTTCATAATTAAAATTACTAAGCTATGAAAAGCAATCAGAACTAGAATATAAGGTTTCATTTAGAAATAAAGCTATTTTAGAAGTAGAATCTTTTATTTTTGAATTAAAATCTTTTATTTTAGAGTTAGAATCTTCTATTTTAAAGAATCTTCTATTCAAAAAGTAGGTACTTCTATTTTAGAAGTAAAATCTTCTATTAGCAGATGATTGGTAAGCTTGATAGGAAGATCGTGGAAGAAAGTCAAAAAAATCAATGCATTTTGGTAACAAATATGGTACGTAGAATGGAACCTTAAGTAACTAACAGTAAAAAAGAATGTTTCCCATTGACAATTTGTTTTACATGTTGTGTTTTACATGTTGTGTTTTACAAAAAACCAAATAATGCATTGGTAGTAAAACATCATCTAATTTGCAATAATTTACTTGCTTATTAAAATTTTTTGCTTATTTAAATTTTATGTTATTGAATAAAATTATTGAGAATATGAGATTCAGCTTAGAACTGCAAACTGTCAACTAGTTCTCACAGTTACTCCCTGAAAACCATTTTTAAAAATTCTCTAAAATCATTGATTGAGTTATTTCAATATAAATTAGTAAGTATATAAATATGTAAATATATAAAACGATAAAGTGAATTTCCAATATCATATTAATGCTGTTTATCTGGCTAATACCCTGATATATATAAATGAACTTTAAAAAACATTTCTTGAGCTAATACCCTGATATATATAAATGAACTTTAAAAAACATTTCTTGAGCTAATACCCTGATATATATAAATGAACTTTAAAAAACATTTCTTGAGCTAATACCCTGATATATATAAATGAACTTTAAAAAACATTTCTTGAGCTAATACCCTGATATATATAAATGAACTTTAAAAAACATTTCTTGAGCTAATACCCTGATATATATAAATGAACTTTAAAAAACATTTCTTGAGCTAATACCCTGATATATATAAATGAACTTTAAAAAACATTTCTTGAGCTAATACCCTGATATATATAAATGAACTTTAAAAAACATTTCTTGAGCTAATACCCTGATATATATAAATAAACTTTAAAAAACATTTCTTGAGCTAATACCCTGATATATATAAATGAACTTTAAAATTTCTTGGTAATACTTGTAGTCTAAAAAAACTCATGTTATTTTTAAAATTAGCTTTGCCCAACCTGAAGGACAAATACCCAAAAGTAATATTCGTTTGACCAGGAAATTAAAATTGTTTTAAAACATTATAAAATCTTTTTTCATATAAAATGTTCCTAAGTGCTCCAAAAACTCTTATTAGTCTAGTTTTTTTCCTCGAACATCAGTTCTTTGGAATTTGCTTCCTTCTTCTTGCTTTCCTGATTCATATAATTTGCAATACTTTAAGTTGTCTGTCAATTGTTATCTTACTCCATAAATGTTATCTTTTCTCTTCCAGTAACTTCCAACTCTAATAGTGGTTGCTTGCAGCGTTGTTGAAAGCAAAGATGTTGAAAATAAAATAAAAATTTTACCCATCAATATAAAAATTTGTGATCGCAATTGCTTCAAATAATATACTTCCATGATTACTTAAGTGCCCCATCACAATTTGCAATCGCTTAATTCACCCTTTGCAGATGCTCCAAAATTTAAGCTATACCTAAATAGTTAACAGCCAAAAATAACTTGGAATTATTTTTGGCTGTTAACTATTAGAAGCTTGATTGGGATGAATAATGGACAAAAGGGTACTACAATATAAAACCGGTACCATGTCTACTCAAACACCTTAAGCAAATCACACTCAGCTCAACCTTCTACAAGTCTGCAGATCTTATGCTATTAGCCACCTGATATATAGTCTCCTGTTCTTACTTTGTTCATAGCTCCTGTTTTTACTTTGTACAGTCTTGCTGCAAAAAAAGAGATTCAGTATTTTCATAAAAATGTTCTAAATATTGGAATGGATGTAATAAATTGGAGCAGCTTCAATATTAGTTTTGCCATTGAAGAGTTACTAGACAAGATCTGTATTAATTTCATTAAAAAAGATCCTTGTTGACTCATGCCATCACATATTAGTTAAAACCATATTTTAAGTTTATATATATATATATATATATATATATATATATATATATATATATATATATATATATATATATATATATATATATATATAAACTTAAAATATGGTTTTAACTAATATAAATTTAAATAATTGTCAAACCAGTAAACAAATAAAAATGAAAGTCTAATAAACTTTATTGTTTCAAAATGTATTATTTAAAATATAATTTCAAAAAATTTACATTTTAAATAGTGTAGCAAATTGTTAAGTAGTGTTTTTAATGTTTACTTACATATTTAAAAATTTTCAATGTTTACATACATATTTAAATTAGTATATATGTATGTTTATGTGACACTTATTTTCATGTATGTTTTTGTATTCAGGGACAAGCTACAGCGTTTAGGTCGTTTTAACTCTGTCAGTGAGTCTTATGTATGAGTCTTATGTATTCTTGAATGTAATATGTAAAAAGTTTTAATTTTTTAAATTTTCTTTAAATTAAAAATATTTTTTACTTATAATATTTTTATTTATGTATAAGACTATAATGAGTTAATTTTTTTTTTTTTTTATCAAAATTAATTTTTTCTTTTTTTAATTCATAATTTTTTGATTCAGGAAAATAAATCCTCTGCAAATACACAATCAACTTGGTTTTCAGCACAATCAAAAGATAGTGATAATGCAAATGATTCCCCTAAATTATACTTAAATAGAAACCAAGCACCAATCCATTATCAAAATTCGTCTGTACCTTGGACAAATTATGCTGTATCTGCTCCTCCTGTAGGTTATATGACTGCACCTCCTGTTAGTTATGTCGCCGCACCTCCTGTTGGTTATGTGAATGCAACTCCTGTTAATTATTTATCTACAAATCCTGTAGGATATTCTGCCAGCCAACCATTTGTTTATCAGCCAACTAAATATGACTTGTCTCCTGTAAATGGCTCTTTTACTGCTGCTAGTATGCAGTTGCCACCAACAGAGTTTGTTGCTGACCATGATTCAGGTGAATACAATAACGGTGGTCTTTTTAAATTTTGGTGTTCTTCATTTATTATTTAGTATCAGGAAATTTATTTAATTTTAGTAAATTATTTAACTTTTCATTTAATGTTTAAATTTTTATAATGTAAACAATAGAAAATATTCCAAGAAGAAGATATAATCAACCACCTGGAGGAGCATCTAGTGCTTTTATGGGAAGCTCTCATTCCACACAGGACATTGAAATAAGTAGAGCTAAGAAATTGGCCTACTCTAATGATTTGAATAAACAAGTAATTTCTTTTGATCTTTTATTAACAATGTAAAATAAAAATAATTTAATTTTTTGTTAGATTCCAAGAAATGTCTTTAAAATGTTACATAGATAGTTTTTGTATAGTGAAGTGTAGTTTAATGCTGTAGCTGGTAAAAGCACCAGCAAATGTGAATTGCACACTTTTGCCTTTTCATGTTTTAATTTTTTCTTCAATTTTTTTAACTTGATAAGATTTTTCATGTATTCTATCATCATTTGTTTTTAAATTTGTTCAAAGATTTGCATTGACAGTTTCTTCTGGTAAAGAATTTTATAATGGTACAACTCTATTTGTTAAGAAGTTATGTCTTACTCCACAATTAATAATTTTCCTAGTGGATTGGTTAGCTTAACTTTATCTATTTGTTTAAATACAGAAACATCTGTATCATGCTCCCTTGTAGTCCTTCTCCAGAGTTATTAAGTTTAGCAAGACAATTTTCATTTGTGAGATTCTTTAGATTTGCAACTGTTTTAGTTTTTCCAATTATTCCAATTATTAATTTCCTTATTTTCTGTTTGGAGACCAAACTGGAGAAGCAAATTCATTATGCGGTTGCACAAATACTTTGTATAATAACTTAAGTATAATTTTGTTGAGATGTGCAAAGTTTTCTTTGATTTGACCCAAGATTCTGATGAGGATCTAATAATCTGTTGTTTCCCCTTTAGATCATTCATAAATTTTACTCCTGTAAAGTCTTTTTAAGTGAAAGACAGTTTTTTAAAAAGACATTACAAGACAGTTTTTTAACATCACCTGAAAGGTGATGTTAAAAAACTGTCTTGTAATGTCTTTTTAAGTTCTCTCTCATCGATTTAGTCTCTAAAATAAACTTGAAGTTTTTTTTAAGTATCTATCCATATCTATTAGCAAAACAATTCTCCAGACGTCTGTTTATTACTGCTAGAAACCATTGTAAAAAGGTTTTGTCTAATGCCAAAGCCCGCTATTCTCAGATCATGAAATCTCGTATTTCATCACAAAAATTAGGCACATGTGACTTCTGGGGAATATTCACGTGACTTCTGGAGAATCAATAATAAGGGCAAGTCTGTAATTCCACCTCTTTTGTATGGTTCAGACTTTGTCACCTTACCTAAAGACAAAGCTGAATTGTTTGCCAAGAACTTTTCATCAATATCATCTCTTGATGTCACTAGTTGCGTTCTACCTGATAAAGCCGTCAAACAGGTTGATCCATTGACATTCGTATCACTCCAGCTTCTGTATCTAAAGTGATTTCCCGCTTAGACTCTTCTGCAGCTTGCGGCCCGGACAACATACCTGTTATAGTCTTGCAGAAGTGTTCTCCGGAGCTGTCGTCTATCCTTTCAAAACTATTTAAGTGCTTAGTGCTTATCAGAGTCTTGTTTTCCAGCCTGCTGGAAAGCAGCATCTGTTATCCCTATTTTTAAAAATTCTGGAGAGCGATCTGATTCATCTAACTACCGTCCCATTAGTCTTCTTCCTATCATAAGCAAGGTTTTTGAATCTTTAATTAACAAACACTTAATCTCTCATCTCAAATTTCATAACCTACTTTCTGATCATCAATATGGATTTCGATCTTCTCGTTCTACGGCTGATTTGCTATCAGTAATAACTGATAGGTTTTATCGCGCATTAGATAAAAGTGGAGAGGTTAAGGCCATTGCTCTTGACATTTCTAAAGCGTTTGATAAAGTTTGGCATGCTGGTCTCCTCCATAAGCTTTCTTTTTACGGTGTATCTGAAAACATCTTTAAGATTATTGAATCTTTCCTTTCCAATCGTAGTATAAAAGTTGTCCTTGATGGACAGCACTCTTCTTCTTATTCTGTAACCTCAGGGGTTCCCCAAGGTTCAATCCTTGGCCCTATACTCTTTTTAATTTACATTAACGATCTTCCAGATATTCTCACATCTAAGGTGGCATTGTTCGCTGATGATACTACCATTTATTCTTGTCACGATAAGACGCCAATTCCCTCTGATTGCTTGCAGGGGGCATCTGAGCTTGAAAAGGATCTCACTTCTGCTACAGCATGGGGCTCACAGTGGCTGGTGAACTTTAATTCAGATAAAACTCAATTTTTTTCGGCCAATCGTTATCGCAATAGTTTAGACTTCCTATATTTATGAAAGGTAATGTACTCGATGAGTCTCCTACCCTTCATCTTCTAGGATTAACTCTTACTTCTGATCTTTCTTGGAAACCTTATATCAAATCCGTTGCAAAATTAGCATCTGCTAAAGTTGCTTCTCTTTATCGAGCTCGTTATCGAGCTCGTCACTTTCTTACTCTGGATTCTATTCTCTATCTCTATAAATCTCAAATCCGGCCTTGTATGGAATACTGTTGCCATATCTGGGGCGGATCTTCTAATGATGCCCTTTCTCTTTTAGACAAGGTGCAAAAACGCATTGTAAACATAGTTGAACTTGCTCTTGCAGCCAACCTTCAACCTCTGTCACATCGTCGTAATGTTGCTTCTTTTTCTCTTTTCTACAAATACTATAATGGGCACTGCTCAAAAGAGCTAGCGTCTCTTGTGCATCTATTAAAATTCATTCTCGTGTTACTCGTCATTCAATTAAGTCTCATCCATTTTCTGTTACTGTTCCTAAGTGCTCCAAAAACTCTTATTCGTCTAGTTTTTTTCCTCGAACATCAGTTCTTTGGAATTCGCTTCCTTCATCTTGCTTTCCTGATTTATATAATTTGCAATCTTTTAAGTTGTCTGTCAATCGTTATCTTGCTCTACAATCTTCATATTTTCTCTTCCAGTAACTTCCAATAATAATTAGCTAATTAGTGGTTGCTTGCAGCCTTGTTGGAAGCCAAGATAATTAATAAAAAAAAAAAAAAAAAAAAAAGTTCGTTCTCATCAAATAGATAAGAATGATTCTCGTTTTTTGTTCCATAGTGCATCACAATACATTTGTCAATATTAAAGAAAAGTAACCATTTTTTTTTGACCAAACAACAGCTACATCCAAATCAGCTTGAACCTTTTCTACTTTTTTTATATTATCAACTGTTGATAAGATCTTTGTATCATTGGTAAAATTGTTATGTTTTGAAGGCAATTCAGAAAATCATTAGTAAATATCAAAAATAATAATTGTCCATGCATAGATCTTTGAAGTGTGCCACTCAAAACATTTTTCCAGGTAGAGACAACATTCCCTTGTTTGATTTTTTGTCAGCTATTACTATTATTAAGTTTTTTATCCACTCTAAAAGTTTTCCAGATACACTATACACCTCTAGTTTTAAAATCAAACGTCTGTGAAGTAAAGTGTCAAAAGTTTCAGCCAAATCAAGATAAATTAGGTCAACTGGTAGTTGGTTAGCTAAAGAGTATGAAATGAAGTTATACTCTTTCAAGCAGATTTTTTGTACAGGATTTTGATTTTACAAATCTATGATGATTGGACGAAATTAAATTATTACTATATAATGATTTCTCTAAGGAGGCTTTTACAAAATCTTCTTAACGTTTACACACAATCAAGGTAATGTAAAAGTATATGTAGTTTAACACTGACAGTTTGTCACTTTTTTTAAACAATGGTGTGGAAGAGCCATTAAGTCAGGTGATTTTGATTTTGTTAATTATAAAAATTCTTTTTCTTGATCTTCATCATTATATTTTTACTTTATATTTATATTGCTATATTTTATTTAAACTCTAAAATTCAACTTTTGAAAGATTTTATTACAAACTTTTTTTAAGGCAATAAATTGAAACCTAGAGCTAGCAATTTTATGCTTATTATTATTTATTATTTTAGTGGTTTATTGCTGAGATTTATTTTGTTATCACTAATATTTATATCTAAGCAACAGCGCTACTAAAGTTATATCTAAGCACCAGCGCATACTAAGGAGGAATCTAAGTTCAACATTTTTACTGTGTCCTCTTTTTTACATCTTCTCAAGTTATAGATTACAACTGTCTCTCATGGAAACAATATATCCATGGCGATCATAGAAATATCCATTGCGTAGGTAGCGCTTGCTAAGATTGCTTCTCACTATGGTGCTTGCCATTTTTTTACTCCTAATTACAATATCTATAAATATATTATCTGCTCTTGTAAGAAGTACTGTTGTCATTTTTGGCGTGATTTTTCTAGTGATGATGATTCTTCTAGTGATGATGGTTCTCCTTTAGTCAAAGATTCTCCAGTCACGAGAGCCTATTTTTGAGATAAAATACACGATTTTATGACCTGAGAATAGTGGGCTTTGGTGTTAGACAAAACCTTTTTACAATTGTTTCTAGCAATAGTAAACAGACATCTGTTTTTTAGAGAATTGTTTTGCTTATAGATATGGAAGTAACAGTTTTGATTGGAAATTGCAGCAGCACAATGTGAGGAAAACAATGGAGAAGAATGAGGCTTGACTTGAAATTGTCAAGAGAGAATAAAAGATTCCATGCTAGCCTGAATCCAAGAAGTTGTGTAAGAAACACGTTTGTCAGCAGGAAGACAAAAGATTTCTACTCGAGGGCCATCATAAAGAAAGTCACGGAAAGATTCCCAGTCAGTTTTAAGGTAGTTGTAAGATGTACGATTATAGGGGGAATCTGATGATGAAGAAGAGTGAGATAATAGTTATAAAGAGATCAAATCGTGATCAGAAGCACCAAAGGGTGAATGTGGAGAAACTGGGCACTGACTAGAATTAGAAACAAGATATAAGACGAATAGAGAAGGTAAATAATTCGGGTTGTCAGGAAAGCGAGTTGGAAAGTTGACTATTTGAGTAACAGATTGAGAAAGGCAAAGGTTGTGGGCCTTAATGCTTCCAGAGTCACTGACACTAGAGCCAAGCCATTCAGTGTGATGATCATTAAAGTCACTAACAACAACGATATTGGCTGATAAATAAAGAGAGAGGGCTTGGTCATTTTGATCAGAACTAACATCAAAAAGAGTGCAGTTTCCAAATGAAGGAGAGCAATATAGAACAAAGAGAAAGGTGATAGATTTAAGTGGTGTTAATTAAAAGTACTTAAAAGAATATTCAATGGATTTCCTGACAAATCGTTGAATTTTTACGAATTTAGATGCCCGGGCTAAGCATGTAACTTTTGGAGTCTTACGAATTAAGGGAAGATAACCATCAGATCACAAGATGAGACAGCCAAACTCAAATTAGTCTCACAAAAAGCAAGTAGGTCTGGTAAACTTTGCTAGAAATAAGACTCAACAAAAGAAAAGTTACTTCGAAGACCACAAATATTAGTGATTGATAGATTTTGAGAACTTGGTGATGACAATGGTTTTTTGTGTTTTATTGTTTTTGGTACTTGAGTCATTTTTAAATTTGTTAAATAACTTGACTCAAAGCATAGATAGAAATCAGTACACTATTTAAAAATCCAAGTAATTGCCTCATTACTATTAATAAACCCTAAGCCATAAAAAAGGGCTCTAAATGTGGCCTCAACAATCCACGCCAAACGTACAAAAAGGGACCCCACCCATGCGCAACATAGCACTGTTAGTACTCTGATATTTTACAGCTGTTGATGGAATCAACTTCTCTGAGAGCTGCCACAGAGTTCAGGAAACTTAACTACCAGCCGGCCTCAGAACCATAAAACTGAGTTTTAGAGCTGTACCCTCATTACGAGATAATAGAATGAGTTGCATAGTCATAAAAACAGAGACACAAGCAAAATGCATTCATTGAGTCAAGAAGATCCAGTGTTCAACATCTAAAACTGTAAACAATGTATTATAAATACATCCGCCTCAGCCTAGTAAATTAAGAAGGGATGCAAGGCTGGTCAACAGATAGAATCCATTTATGCTTTAAGTCTTTGTCTAGGAGGCCTTTTACAAGACAGTAGCCAGATGCATTTAACATGTGCCCATAATTATTTTTATCTTTAGATTTTTTTTATCAAGACACCATCTCTAGCCTTTACACAACCAAAATGTTTGATATTCAAGAGTTAGATATTTCTAATTTCTTTAATCTTGAATTGTTGAGGCAAAGTATGAAAATGAAGACATTGATAATAATAGTAATAACAAATCATAACTCATAAGAATTAAAGTATTTTTTAATATAAGACTTATAACTTTGGTTTTTTAATATAAGACTTATAACTTTGGTTTTTTAATATAAGACTTATAACTTTGGTATAGGTTTATATTAAATGCAAATTTGAACAAGGTTGTTCTGTTGAAAATCTTCTCTTTTAGTCAACATCCCAAAACATAAATAAAGTGGATTCTGCTCTTGTTACTAACCTTTTAATGGGTAACATTAAAAAAAATTTCATAATGTTTTCAAAAAAATTTCTTTCTCTATTCTACAAATACTGACATACTTATTATTGAGCTATCATATATTGTGTCGCTAACTAAAACACATCTCCAAATACATTTATTTATCTGGTTTTTTCTTTAAAAATTAATGCTTTTCTAATTCATAGTTTCCTGATTCATTTAACTTATGATTTTTCAAGTCTGCTGCAAAACGCTTTCCTGCCCTTAACTTTCTTCTATATTTTCTAGTAACCTTTATTGTAGTTTTTGGTTAGTTACTTCTAGATTAAATAGTGTTTGCAGTCTTGTTTAAGCTAGATTACTTGAAGTTTAAATCAAAATTCTAATAAATTAGTGATTTAAAAAAATTTATTTTGTACAAGTAACTACTAACTCTGGTAACCAAATAAAGACAATTCTTTGGCTTACTTTTGCATTTTATGTTTTTTTTTTTTATACTTTTGTTTTTGTTTTAGTTTACTTTTAGTTATTTAGGAAAATGTTTTAAACAGATTGTAGTACAAAATAAAGTACAAGTTTAAAATTATATTTTTATAATGTTTTTAAACATTTTCACAATGAAAAAATAACACTTTTTTTCATGATGTGGCCCAATAACAAACATAATTTGAAAAAAAAAAAATTTAATTCTTATTTCCTATTTTTACTATTTTACTTGTTAATGTTGAATAGAACGTTGAATAGAAATGTTGAATGTCTCTAAGTTGAATAGAAATGTTGAATAGAATTAACAGTTAAAATAAAGAAAGTTGAATGCTATTTAACATTTAAATATGTTGTATGTTGTTTAATAATGTCTATTGAATTTATAATTTTTTCTATAGCTTTTAGTAATTATTATTTAAATTATTTATTTAAAAATAATAATATTGATATTTTCTAAGCCATTTAATGAATAAAATTTTAAAAACTTTTTTAAAGTTTTTTTTTATTTGCTTCTTTTATTTTTAGTTTTTCAGTAAAGAATTTTTTTTTCTACAATATATATTTTTTTCAATCTTTAGATGGAGTTAAAAAAACTTTCTGCTCAAAAAGAAAAAGATGAACATGAAAGGTTGTATTTCAAAATTTAGAAAAATTTTATAACAATCATCTAATGTGATGTCTTTTTATGTGATGTCATTAGGATATCATGTGATGTCATTAGGATATCAATAAAATCATAGTATTATTATAATACTTATATAATTTGTGAAATCATTTAAGATTACATTGAGTTCTCAGAATAATAAAATAATAAGAAATGATAAATAGCAGTCATCATTCAGATTTGATGTAATCTATAATGTGAATATTAATAGTGGATTTTAAATTTTTGTTTATATAATTATTTTTTATATAATAATATTGTATGTCTGTCTATCATGTTAAGAGTTTTTCATGTTATATTTTATTACTTATTATACATAGATATGAAAGAAAATTGGAAACAGAAGTGTATGATCCTTGGGGAAAAGGTGGTGCTGGAGCTCCTATGAGAAATGCAAAAGGAGAAATAGTTGGTAATTTTAAAAAATAGCATTTTTTAAAAATTATATTGTTTACAGTTTCATTGTTTATAACAATTATACTAATTATTATGTTTATACTAATTATTTACAGCTGATTTAAGAAAATTTCGTAACACAACACCTGTTGAAGATTTAAATTTGAAAGAATCAAATTCTACTGCTATAACATCTGGAAGTGATGGATCACATGATAAAGTTACTAATTTGAAAAATGTCTGTAAGTTTTTTTTTTTTCAAATCTAGGATTTTGATTTTATTTACAAATATTTTTTAAACTTGTTTTATAAAAAAATATATTTTCTAAATGGTTTTTGTAAAAATGTGTTGATAGAAATTAAAGAAAAAATATTTAGTCGCTAAGATAAAATTTTTCCTTTAGCCACTCAAGATAAAGTTTCAACAACAACAACATATGCTCGGGGCGCTGCTCTTCAAGAATTGAAAGGTCAAACTAATGTAATGACTCTTTGTGTTTCTTTTGTTTTAGTTTTACTAGAAAGTCTTACTTAGAAAGTTTTACTTTTATGTTTTTTAAATATCTCAGTATTTAAATATCTCAGTTATTATTTGCAGCCTTTATATGTCCTATTTGCATGTTCTGTTTTTTTTATGTACTTCAATTTTTTCTTATAAAAATGACAAATTAGAAATTTAATTGTTCTTTTTTGTAGAATCCTAACGAGAAGTGTAAACAAGATGATTATAAGATGTTTTTAAAACAACAGGTGATTTATTTTTCTCTCTTTTTAAATTTATTTGTTCATGGTTGTAATGGTAAGGTTCTCAAAATTAAAGTATAAAGTACTAAATGCAGATTTTTATTCAATATGAATTGAAAATGACAGGTTTAAAATAGCTTATTGATATATAACAAAAGATTAAAAAATTTTTGAATATCATACAAACTTCTGCTTCTAAACACAATGTGCCACACATATTTGATGTTTTTTTTTAACTAAGCGAGCTATTCTGCAATTCCACACACATTGGTGTTTTGCTTTTATCTAGGAAGTGGAGTTTTATAGTATATATATATATATATATATATATATATATATATATATATATATATATATATATATATATATATATATATATATATATATATATATATATATATATATATATATATATGTATGTATGTATATATATATATATATATATATATATATATATAAACATATATATATATATATATATATATATATATATATATATATATATATATATATATATATATATATATATATATATATATATATATATATATATATTTTATATATATATATATATATATATATATATATATATATATATATATATATATATATATAATAGCAATAATAATAACAATAATAAGGTATAACTGTAACAACTGTTTTAAACAGTTGCGAAGTGCAATAACATAAGATATTGCACTGTAACAGCTCATTTTGTCTTTTGTTTGTGTTTTAACAAATAGTTTCTGCAAAATCCAGCTCTGTCTAGTTTGTTTTTGAAGTTATTTATTGAAGTAGCTTCAATAATTTCAGATGGTAGGCTGTTCCACGCATTTACAACTCGATTTTGGAAAAAATGATACCTGAAGGTATTTCTGCTAAAAGGCTTCCTCATTTTGAATTTGTGTTGTCGCAGACATGGACCCTCCTCCAATGCATTTCCACAATCGTTAGCAACCCAATTTATTTTATCGTGGCCATGCTTAATTTTATATTGTTGAATCAGATCTCCACGTAGTCTATGTTCTTCCAGTGACGTTAATTGCATAATTTTCAACCTAGCCTCATATGATAATTTCCTAATTGTAGGTGCTAGTTTGGTTGCTCTTTTTTAGATTTTCTCAATCTTGTCAATGTCTTGTTTTAAAAATGGAGACCATGTCTGGACCGCAAACTCAAGATGTGGACGTATGAACGTTGTATAGAGCATTTTTACTATGTTTACATTTAAATATTTAAAGCTTCTCTTTATGGTACCTAACATTCTGTTTGCTTTGCTGGTTGCTGAATCAACTTGTGAGTGCTATTTTAAATCGGATTGAACCATTATACCGTTCAGCTTTTGTGTTACACAATGTATAATTGTAATTGCAATCAATATCAGTCATTATAAATGTAGCATTTGGATTTTTTTTCCCAATATGCATAACTTTGCAATTTTCATAATTAAATTTTGTGAGCCAAATAGATGACCATGCCATTATATTATTTATATCATTTTGGAAGGCTTGTTGAATCATTAGGATTTTTTATAATTTATTATTTTACTATCATCAGCGTAAAGTTTAATAGGGTTTTTGACTTGATCTGGCAAATCGTTAATAAAAATCAAAAACAGCAGTGGTCCTAAAACTGACCCCTGTGGTACACCACTAATAACTGGTAGCCAATCTGAGACAGTGTTGCCAAGGACCACTCTCTGTTTTCTGTTAGTTAAAAAGTTCTCTATCCATCCCAGATAATTTCTCACAATACCATATGATTGAAGTTTAGTGATCAAACGCGAGTGTGGTACTTTATCAAAAGCCTTTTCAAAGTCTAGATACAACATATCAACTGAGTGGCCATTTTCTAGTGCATCTGTTATGATATCAAGAGTTTCCAATAGGTTTGTTGTGCAGCTTTTATATTTTCTGAACCCATGCTGGTTTTCATTTAATAAGCTGTTATTTATTAGATAATCCATAGTTTCATCTCTAATGAGTGATTCCAAAACTTTACATGGGATAGAAGTCAATGAGATTGGCCTGTAATTAGATGCAATGTTTGTATTACCTTTTTTAAAAATTGGTGTTATATTTTCTAATTTCCAGAGTTCAGGTAATTTTTTCTCAGTCAACAATTTTATATATATTAAATGTAATGATTCACAGAGAGTACTATGACATTTATTTAAAACATATGGGCTTATCTCATCTACTCCGATAGCTTTGTAAACATCTAATTTTTTTAATTTTTTTTCAATAGTATGGCAAGTTATTTTATTATTTATATCTACTTCTAGAATAATTTCAGTCTTCTGCGGTATATTTGGTATGTTATGTTTATCTTCGTTAACACAAACTGAATTGAAACTATTGTTTAAAATATTTGCTATAGATTCTCTATTTGTTACAATGTTATTATATTCATTAGACATTGAAGCTATTCCTCCTTTAACTTTTTTGCTAGAATTTACATAACTATAAAATAACTTGGGATTTCTTTTTGATGTTTCACTGATTTTTTTTTCATATTCAATACGTTTTAACCTCACCATGTTTTTAACTAATTTACTTTGTATTTTGTATTGCTGAACCAAAATGGGTGATTTGGATTTATTTGATATTAATTTGTTGCATAAGGTTGTTTTATGTCTGATTTCAGTCTTAATTTGTTTGTCAATATATGGTTTTAAAGCTATGTGTTTATGCACTTTTTTAGGTATATAACTGTCAGATAATTCTTGATATTTATTTACAAAAATTTTGTAGCAATCAACAACGTTTTTATTAGAGAAAATATGTGACCATCTTATACTATGGAATGAATTGTTCATTTCTTGATAATTTCCGGCTTTGTAGTTAAACTTTGATTTCCCATAGGAAGATTTTGATGTTGTTGGTTTTTTTAAGATGTAATTCCAATACAATATCTGATGTGCATTATTTAAATTGCTTAACGGAGGATTGTAGCCTATGATTGAAATACGCTCTGGTGCATCGGTTAAAATCAAATCTAAGGTATTGCCTTCTGACAGTGTCCTTGAATTAAAGGTTGGTTTTGTGACGTTTTGAGTCAAAAAGTTATCATTTAAATTGTCTAAAAAAATTTGTGCTTGTCTATCATTTTTTAACACTGTTTGGAAATTCTCATCATTCTCATTCCATTTTATATTTGGGTAATTTAGGTCTCCGGCTAAGAGTAGACCTGAATATTTGTTGCAATCAACACTTTTTTTAGCTATATTTATTATTTTATTTATTTTTTGATTTGCCATGAGATTTAGTTGAATTAGATTTAGATCGATTGTTGTAAAAAACATTATACCGGCTTACATTTATGGCACTTGATGAGTTAAACCAAGTTTCAGTTACAATAAATATGTCAGGATTATACACTGCTATTTCTAAAAAAACAAATCAAACTTTTTGTTAAGTGAAGTCGCATTTGTATATCTACAACATAGATGGTATTTGGGTATTGATTTGCATAATAATACTTCTGATTTAACATAATTAGATACAGGATTATGTGTAGAAAGGACAGCCATTACTGCAGGTTGATACAAATTAATTGAGGATTGCTATTGCTTTGGTTTTTTTATGAGTTTCACAATTTTAAAATTTCTTATAGTGTAGTAGTATTCATCTTTTTGATTTAGGCTAGCATTTAACAATTTAACTTCACTACATAGCTGTTTAATGAGATCTCTTTTGTATGTATATATATATACATATATATATATATTTTTTGTATGTATATATATACATATATATATATTTTTCGTATGTATATACAAACATATATATATATATATATATATATATATATATATATATATATATATATATATATATATATATATATATATATATATGTATCTACATAAAATAGTAAACAAGTACTATATATATGTATATATATATATATATATATATATATATATATATATATATATATATATATATATATATATATATATATATATATATGTATCTACATAAAATAGTAAACAAGTACTATATATATGTATATATATATATATATATATATATATATATATATATATATATATATATATATATATATATATATATATATATATATATATATATATATATATATATATATATATATGTATCTATATATAATAGTTAACAAGTACTGATATATTAAAAAATTACTGTTGAGCAGTTTTTTTTTTTTTTTTTTAACCAAATAGTTTTACAGTAAGTTAATTTACAGTAGTTAAAACATTTGCGACTTCCTGTAATTTAATTTTTTGGCATAAATTGAAGTTTTATTAATTTGATCTTTCATTTCTGATGAGTCTTTGTTGATGAAACACAGTGTAAAATGAAAAAAAATTTTGTTAAGTGATTTTCTACTAATTTATATATATATATACACACACATATATATATATATATATATATATATATATATATATATATATATATATATATATATATATATATATATATATATACATATACATATATATACATATATGTATATATATATATATGTATATATATATATATATATATATATATATATATATATATATATATATATATATATATATATATATTAAATATATTAACAAAATTCATTTTACACTGTGTTTCATCAACAAATTTCATTTAACACTGTGTTTCATCAACAAAGACTCATCAGAAATGAATGATCAAATTAATAAAACTTCAATTTATGCCAAAAAATTAAATTACAGGAAGTTGCAAATGTTTTAACTACTGTAAATTTTCACACATTTGTGGAATTTGCTGACACTGTTATAAAAAGAATTCTTTAGAAATGATTACTTATGCTTTTTTTTTTTTTTTTTTTTTTTTTTTTTTTTAAATATTTTAAAAAAAGGGGGATTTGATGTAACTGTTATTTGAGCTCATTTATTTTTATAGTTTTTTAGGAGAAACTTATTTTCGTGCCTGCATTTAGAAATCAATTTCGATTTTTTGTTTTACAAACATTCTTGGTTTGCATGTGTAATTATTTGAAATTTTTCTTGTAGACATAGTATGCATTTTTTGGAAATATTGTTGTATGCAGGCGCTGTTTTAAGGATGGACCAATTCAGTATAAAATCATCAATATTTTTATCTTTTAGTTTCCTTATATATTTTGATGGCATGGTATTTTTTGAATACTTTTACAATCTTCATCTTTTCTCTTCCAGTAACTCTAATAGTGGTTGCTTGTTGAAAGCAAAAATGTTAAAATAATGTCAGCTGTTCCCAACTTCTGTCAACATATTTTTGAGTTGTATGTAATTAAATCTTGTTTTACAAATTATGAATAGAAAAATTTAAAATTAAAGTTTTATTACTCAAAAATTAGTCACACAGATGGATGCAAGGCTTTAACAGATATTCAATTTATAAAAATGGTTGCAAACTGACTACATCTGAGTAAGAAAAAGGCATAGGAGTGTTTTTTTTATAAGTTATCAAGTTCTTTTGAGTGCAAGCATCTGTGGCACAAATTATTTTAGGGTCTTGAAATGTCTATGGTTTAATGCTGAGGCCAAAAATGATTATTGAAGAAACCAGCAGCAAATTTTCTCGTTAAATGATATTTATATCAAAAAAAAAAAAAAAAAAAAAAACAGAAAAAAAAAGCAAAATAAAAATATATAAATAAGAGTATCAGGCCAATTTTAATAAATTATTTTTTAATTTGAAAAATTATACTTTATAAGTTAATTACAGATAACTTTTTATAATTAATTTAAAAATTATAAAAGTTTTCTGTATTTATGAAAATATTATTTATGAAAAAGTATTAGTTTATGAAAATTTTCATAAATTTCTTATATCTGCATCTGTACATTGGGTAACCAAGCTTTACAAAAGCAAAGATTGTTTTTGAAACTCCTTGTATTTGGACTTGGCGGACTAGTTAGAATTGGACTTGATGGACTAGAAAAAATAGTTCACAATCCAATCTAACAATAAAATGAACAACTTAAAACAAATAAAGTTGTTCATTTTATTTTTATTTTTTATTTTTTAATGATTTTTATTTTTATCATTTTATTCTATTTTTTTTTTTTCTAGGTTGAAGAAAAAAAAAGGAGAGATCAAGAATTAAAGGAAAAAATTAGGTTGGAAGAGGAAAAAGAGGTATTTTCAGCCATTAAGTTGCTTAATTGAAAGTAACTATTCATTGATATTATTTGAAATTAAAATATAGAACTAATATGGTTTGAAATTTATATTTAATATTTGATTAGTTTCTGAAGAACATAATGAAAAAAGTGGAACATTAGAATTAGTTTCTACTTTTAATTATATTTGATAAGTAACAGGTTAAGTTGGACTAATAATAAGTTGGAAAGCAGTATAATGGTTACCATGATGAGGGTTACCATGAGTGATATTAAGTGTAACCATGACTATTATCGAAAGAGTTATCACTTCAAGCTAGTTATTACTTCAAAATAGTTATCACTTCAAGATCGTTATCACTTCAAGGGATGCGGAGTCCCAAAAAGGACTCCGGATTTGAAAGGCAAAAAATTGATTACTTTTTCCTGGTTTTTTGGTATCATGGGGCTCTAAAAATGTAAATAAGCTTATGGATTACTTATGAGAAAAAAATGAAGATTTTTTAGGTTAAAGGAACAATCAATTCTTAAACTCTATAGTTCTTATGTATAATAACTGCAATGACTAAAAAATATTAGGTTCCAAGTCATTAATTCTCATGAATTTTTTTCTTATTGCAGATGATGTCTACCAACACTTTTAGAACTCCTGGACCCTAGAGACCAGGAAAAAACAGAGATATAAAGCTGGAGTCTCTTTGGGACTCCACATCTCTAGTCACTTTAAATTAATGTAAGTTTTATCTAAGTAAGTTTTATTTAAGTTTTATTTAATTTGAGTTTTATTCATGTAAGTAGTTACAGAAAAAATAGATTAGCTTATTTCTGATTACCTTTAAAATCAGCAAAACAAAGTATTAAACATCAATGAATATTAAATGCCATTAAAGCTTTGCATTATACATAATTAATGATTACTAAAGATGCATAATAAATTTTATAGGGGAGGCCACTATACAGGAAACAAGTTTATATGTTTCAAAAATAGCAGAGTTGATAATAACATGATCACAACAGGTGATGCTAAAAATCATGACACATGACATACTATTTTTCTCTTTTAGAATCAAAGGCTTCTTGAACAACAACGAAAAATGAAAGAAGATTTTGATAAAGAAAAAGAACGACAAAGGCAAAAAGAAGAAGAGGTACTAAAGGTTTCAATTTGAAAATGTGTAAACATGTATTTTGTGATCACACATGTTAAAACTTTCACTTTTAGTTATGTAGACAAAATGAAGAACTCAGGTTGTTAGCAGAGCAAAGGCGCATAAAAGAAGATAAAAAACAAAAAGAAACAACAGATTTAAAAAAAGAAATTCAACATGATATCATTCAAGTTCCAGTATGTTGTGTTTAATATTTATTTGGTTATTTGGTTATCTTATTTGATATAATTTTTTATTTCATGTGAGTTTTCTATATATTGCAGGAAAAACCTATAGTTCGAAACAGTTCACCACCAGTTCCTGCTGTCATCAAGGTTTTTTATTTTATATTTACTTTTTTTTTTTGATTTTTTTAAATGTCCATTTTTTTCATAATTGTCATCAACTTGTTGTCATCTCATTTAAGTTAGAATATAAATATTTAAATTTATTTCGCTACTGTTTGTCTGTTACTTAGAGCTGTTGCAAAAATTTTCAGGGTATAAAAAACATAGAAAACATGAAGAAAGAAAAAAAAGGAAAAGAAGAATTGCCAGCAAGTTTGAATGGTACCATTTTGTTTAAAACTTCAACTTTGTTTATTTATTTTTATTATTTCATTTTTATTGATTTTTGACTGATAGTTAAAATATTTGTTTTTTACATCTTAAAACTGAATTATTTTTCAGCAGTGCATAATAGTTTTTCTCAACAAGAAGCACTTATAGAACAATTGGCAGCACTTCGAAAGCAGTTACAAGAACAAGAGAACAAAGTAAAAAAAGATTTGGAACTAAATAAGGTTTGACAAAATGGGCTTCCATTTAATATATATATATATATATATATATATATATATATATATATATATATATTCAACTGATATTGATATATTGGCTTAATTATAAAAATTTATAAATGCTTTAAATAAAAAATTGGTTGCAAAAAATGTCTGATGGTTGATGATTTCTGCTAGACAATTGACAGATCTAATGTCTAGTAGCTATTTTTAGCACTGCCAAGCAGTATTAGCATAATTTATATGGAATCAATGTTTTATTTAATAGAAGTTGAATTTAAATTACGTTTTTTTCTTAATACTTTTTTTCTAAGAATACTGTAAGTTTGAGTCTCTTTTCCTTATAATTAATATCATGGTTGCTGCTCAAACAAGCTATCATAATTTTTTCCATCTAAAAAAACTATTCCTTTTATGACTCACCATTCTATTTGTTTTAATTTTCTTTACAAGCCGTTCTTTTGTGTTTAAAAATTTTTACTTATTCAGATTTTTATGTTCATAAACACTTTAGAATTCTCTTAGAGTTTTCAGGAAAACATTGTATTTTTTTGCTGTGACTTGTTTAATTTTCAATTCTTTAAGTTATCTGTAAACCTCATTTTCGCTTTAACTGCCTTTCTCCCCTTTTAACTCTCAAATAGAGAATGAGCAGTTTGTTGTTGATTTTTATTTTAAAGCCACTTATAAATTTGGTTTACTTTGTTCATGTAATGAAATGCAGTTGTGATGTTACTGTGAGATATTACTGGAGGCATGTTATCAAATTCAAACTGTCACATGACATTACTGGATAAAGTTCAATTTGATAAGTTTTTTATAAAGGTTGTTTTGAATAATGAATTAAAAAGCTATATTTTAGTAGGAACCTATTTTGGCGAAAAGAAAGTTTTTTTGTTGGCTAAAAACATTAATAATGAATGACTTTCAAAATTGCACAGGCTTTTAAATAAACAAACAATAAATATTGCTTACTTTGAATGTGATAAATACATTAATAATGAATGTATATGAGTTTTAAAATTGCACAGGCGTTTAAATGAACAATAAATTGCATATATATCAGATAGTAATAATATTCTGCCCTATTTACAAAATAGACAGTAACTCCAAAATTTCCATTCTGAGATATTCTCAACAAACAAAAAACCTATTAAGCCAACCAGTCAGCTTAGTACATGAAACTTTTAATATCATCAATTGACTTCTAAAAAGAGTTTTCCTGAGGTTTTAATGATTTTAAAATTTTTTATTTAATTATGATAATTAAGCACATACAGTCTTTTTAATATGTACTAAAATTATTTAAATGACCAATAAATTATTTATTTATATGACCAATAAATTATTGGTCATTTAAATGACACCTATATTTTATTGGTCATATATTGACCAATAAAATAGTCAATATATGAACATGAGGTGCCATTAATAGATGGCACCTTATAGTTATATATTGAGCAATGAAATTTAAATGGCACCTTATGTTTATATATGGACTAAAAATATATAGATGACATCTTATGGTCATATATTGACCAATGAAATATAACTGGCACCTATTTATTACATTGCTTTTTTTTTTAGAGTCAACATAAAATCATTCAAAGTTCTTCAAAAAAGTTAATATTTTTTAATGCTTTATTTTAAATTTATAAATATAATTTATTATTTTTTACAGTATATATAATAAAAATAAAAATAATAAAAATTTTAATAGCTATATGAATATAAAATTTTTTAATGTAGTGTATAATAATATAGTAACTACATGAATATAAGAATTTTTTTAATTTGTATTTTATTAAAATACTTTTTTTCATTAATATCTTATACATACCTATATATAATTATTAGTTATGTTATATTATAATTTGTTTAGACATGCAAAACCACTTATAAAAAAAGGGTTGGAGACCGTGTTGATAAATAATGTTGCTGAAACATTGGTATGAAAATACAGCATTGTTATGATTTCATTCATGTAAAACGTAGTAATGCTTTTTTAAATAAAATGTTAAAACTATATTTTATATATATGTTTTAATTTTATAGCCAAACAATAATAAGAATGAAACAAATAATAAATTTGGTAAGAGAATTTTTCATGTAAAATAGATATTCAACTTCAGTTACTTTATCTGATACTTGTTTTTTTTTTTTAATATATCTGATACTTGCTTCTTTTTTTTTTTTAAATATAGATTCAAATCTTTTGACACATCAGGAAGATTACATGAGGTATTATTTACAATCAAGAGTTTTAGCCTAAGTTTATTTATCATTTTTATAACATTTTTATGATTGTTTTAATTTAAATACAACACTTTTGAAAATTTAAGCAAATTTAAACCACTTTTTAAAATGAAATTATTTAAGCAAATTTTTAAATTTATATTTATCACTAAAAATAAAGTAAAAAATTACTCTTTTTTTTTAGGAAGAAAATTAAAATTCAAAATAATAAAAAAGTTTTTCATCTGAAAATTTTAAGTTTTTTAATGATTTATACATCTAAAATTGGGTATATAGATAGTTAATTTAAATAAATTTATACATCTAAAATTGGATATATAGATAGTTATTTTTAAAAATTATGAATAATTTATGTCAACATATACTTTTTAAAAGTAGTTAAAATATTAGGGCTAATTCTCCACAAGCTTTGCAATCTTTGGCAACCTTGTTTAACAAAGTTTGTGTTTCAGAGCATAGGGTCAAAAGAGTGTGACACATAAAATAAAACATTAAAAAAACACTCTGGAACCATTTGGAAGTGAATTTAATAATACAAAAAGTTAAATAAAGTTAAAGCTTGTCAAGTTAAAGTTAAAAAAAAATTTAGTTAAAGCTTCATCAAGTTTCATTAAGTTAATCAAATAATCAAATAGACATCGTTGATGTTGTTTTAAGCTTAGGTGTTTATATATTTCTTGATATTGTTTAAGCCTAAAAGTATAAATTGCTATGTTTTTTAGCAAACTGATTTTATTATTTTTGTTTAGAGAGCAAGAGATACGTTTGATGCGTTTGCGCGAAGGGTTAGAGAAAAAAATCAATGATCATAAATTATCTAGTTCGGTAAAATTATAAGATATCTACTTTTAATGTTTGCAAAATCATATTTTTTTTTTTTTTTTTTTAAAAAAATCATAGATTTACTCATAACTTATTATCACTTATCATCAGCTACTTTAGAGAGAGAGAAATGACAGAAGACTGGAGAGAGAGAGTCTATTTAGCTAAAACTGTTAACTGTCAAAGCTCAAATGTTATTTAATGGTTATTTAGTCAAGACATAATTCTTTATTGAGAAAACAGCAGCATACATTAAAGACTTTGATAGATCTAATATACAGAACAGAAATGACATATATAATACACAGAACAGATATGGTATATCTAATATACAGAACAGATATGGTATATCTAATATACAGAACAGATATGATATATCTAATACACAGAACAGATATATATCTAATACACATAACAAGTATAATATAACTATTACACAGAACCAAGCACACCTTAATGACCTTGGTACATTTAAATCAACGGAAATTGATGGTTTACACCCAAGACCCTCTCATGCTAACTTTTAAAAAACACAGTATGTTTAAATAATTTGACTGAACTATAGTTTAACTCCTTTAACTGAACTATAGAGTCCATCTTTTTTAACTGAACTATAGAATCCAACTTTTTTCTCTTATTGACCTACATACAGCAACATTTTGAACTTGCAGTCTAAGTCTGGTTCAACATTAACTAAATTTATAAGGTTGAAAATAAGTTTTAAAATCATATTATATAGAAAGGAATTTACTTAAAATAGCTAAACTAAAATACTGTTAAGTGATACAGTTTTTTACATATGGAATAGTTCATAAAATGTGAATTCTGCAAAGTACTCTTCATACTCTACTAAAAAATTTCCTTCATCAGTTGCAGTGTCCAGTCTTTTTTTCTGCATCAGTCCAGTTAGCACATAGAGACCTAGTTCATAGACTTCTCCTAGTTCTAGAACATTTAAGTTGTATATCCTCATTATTCTTCATATATCTCCATATATTCTTCCTTATTCAAAACTTACCAAAGATGTTTACTTTTAAAAATTATTTAAGTTGTATTTTTTAAATGTTGTTGATTTTCTACTATATAAACTCAACATATTTCAAGTTAATATTATTCTCCATATTTTATTTAGATCAACAATCAATCATTACTTCAATCTGATAGCACATTTATGTCTTTAAATGCAAATACCAATAAGGATGTTACCAATAAAGAAAGTGATTTTAAAACTCATTTCAAGGTTTTTTATGGCTTATTAAATTTTAAACTATAGAAATAGGTTTTATTCTAATTAGTTTCCAAAAAGGTTACCCACAACAGCATATTGTTAAAGTGGTATGTAAGTAGTATTTGCAGACAGTATGAATCTATATTTGCCAGATGGCATTCAACCAATACGAAAGTACAATAGCATAAATGAGTCACATAGGAAAGGAAAAACTGTTCCACTAGAAGAATAATCAATGGAAGATAACAGCAGGCTACCGCTCAAAATCCATATTGTTAGTCGTTCCTGAAAGAATTCATCAAATAGAGATTAGAACGCTTAAAGCAAATTGACAAAGAAGTAACAAATTTATGGCTAAGAAATTTTTCACTTTTATCAATTCAAGGTTGTATTGGCAAAACTGCATCAAGTGCTGAAGATATATGATAAATGTGTAAAACAAAAAAAAAAAATACAATCCATTGAATATAGTTTTTGACACAAAAAAAATGGTAAACGGCTTTGCATTGAGGACAAAAGATTGAATCATTTTTAGATTAAAAGCAAAAGACATGTCAGGTATAGAACTGGGAAGGCTACTAGTTCAAAAACTATTCATCTATTCTAAAGAATAAAAATGTTCTCAAAGCCTACTTTAATAACAGCAACAGCAACAATGTCAACTTCTAAATCCAAGTCCAAGGCAGAATATAAAGAGTTTAAAGATTCAGATGAACAGTCCACAAGTACACTTTACTGAAAAGAAACTGAAGGAACTACAAATCATTGGTTGTCAACATCACACACTTGATCAAATCCTTCACAAGGTAATAAAGAACTTATGGGGAACAACATGTCGCCTAGTATTGATTATCCGTTTATCCTGGAACTTGTAAAAAACTGCAAACAGCTAGAATTTCAAGAATGGCAAAGTAGTGATTTTTGAAACAGCAGGATGGAATTATGATGTGAAATATTCTAATTAACTTGAGTATTTTGCTTTTTTCAAGAATTTGGAGTATTTCCTAATGTTAAGTTTCAAAAAAAACATAAATTAAATAATGCAAGATGGAATTCCCAAGCAATATTAGCTCTTTTGGCATTTGTCCTAATGTTAAGTTTTAAAAATTAATTAGATGACAACAAGATGACAATAATGCAAGATGGAATTCCAAACAATACTAGCTCTTACTTGGCATTTTTTATTCTTCTACTAGAAAAGACTTTTTTTTCTTACAGGTGGGTGGATCATTAGTTTACTGACCAAATATACAGTGCAGATGATTATCGGAAGCTATGTAGCAACTTGAACGGTAAAAAAAAACAGTTAAACTCAGTAAAAAAAATTTTGGAATCAGGAACCATCTAGACTAGGAATTCCCAGAACAAGTGCAGAAAGAGTAATCAAGTGTCAAGTATCTATTAAAAAAAGAGAACCTCCAGCTTAGATTTATTTTGTCCTACAAAGCATAAGAATTATATATTATGCTTTAATTAAGTTGAATACTGCACAACATTTTTTTGATATATAAAGTTGTTTTTCATACTTGCAGAATTGTTGTTTTATTTAATTGTTATTTATTTTTAATTTAGAGTGTTATAATGTAACAATAAACAGTTAAATGCTTAAGAACTACATAAATCTCTAAATGATAAAATTTGATAAATTCTAATTAATAAATTAATAAAATAATAATAATCACAATAAGTTTGTTTAAAATTTTTCTATTTATGGTAAATTTGAATTTTAGGTTTGTGGGTGACCTTTTTCAATAAGAAAATTAAATTAATGCTTTTTTTATTACTTCTATACAAATTTTTATCAATTTATAACTTAGGAACAAGAGGTCACAAAAAAGTCATATATCTAGTATATGAATTTTTTGCCATATTTTATATATTATAAATTATATATATATATATATATATATATATATATATATATATATATATATATATATATATATATATATCAACCCTCTGCCGCCCTAACTGCCAACCTTAAAGTGTTTGAGGTTTGCAAATAATTGCCGACCTCGTTTCTGTGTTTTATAGTAACCCTTTTGTATCAAATTTATTTTGCAGACCTAATGCCGACATTTAATGTTTGAAGTTGGTAAAAAATTGCTGACCTCGTTTTTCCTAATTCCGAGGGTTGATATATATATATATATATATATATATATATATATATATATATATATATATATATATATATATATATATATATATATATATATATATATATATATATATATAAAAGTATGCATGATAAGACTACAATTTTGAAAACAACCAATTACTGAAATTAAAAAAGTTAAGTTTTATATTATTTTTATTTTTTGATAGTTGTTTATGAATTAAATTTTAACTATATTTAGCATTTCTTTGATAACAATCCTGGTAATTTGGACAATATTGATCAAAGGAATTTGGAGAATCTACAACATTTTTCTTTTAATAATGGTATGTTATCATTTTGCTACTATATTTATATGGTCACTTTTACTGAATTAAAATTTAATTTTGGATTACTTTAAAGCTAATAAATAATACTGATTTGAAATTTTTATTTTTGAATAGTATTTTTCTCATTAGGAAAAGAAACAGTCTTAAAAGAACATTGATGTATGTTGTTTTTTTAATATAATTTTATGTACTATTTGTAATTAAATATTATACAAACTATTAAATATATATTTTTTTAATTTTTAGCGAAATCAGCCGATCTTGATATTCATCATTTTCAATTTATTTTTAAAATATAAACATTGTAAATAAAAAAATGTTATTTATATTTTGTTGTATTTATCTTGAATTAAAATGTTTTTAATATTTTCTTGTTTTAATTCAACTTAAATTACTAAAGGAAATTTAAGAACTTAAATAACAAATTTAATATATTTTATTTTTTTTAAATCTTAATTTTTTTTTTTTTAATTTTGTTAGACCAAAGAATAATATGATAGACTTCTATTTAATATAGTTTAGTGTATTGTGATGTTTGATGAAAAAAATAATACTTGTAACAATTACTATATAAATGTTAAAGATTTTGTACATTTTTTAAATTTACTTCTATTTTTAATTTTTAATGATTTTTTAGATTAATTTTTTTAAATAAATTTAAAAATGAGGTTAATTTTTTTTTTGTGTTAAAAAAACTTTTTTTTTTTTTTATATTTTTTGTTTAATTTTATTGCTTACTAATCGATTTTTTGTATATATATAAAATCTTTGAAAAAAATTAAAAATCTCAAAAAAGTTTCAAAATTTGAGTCTTATTATTTCTTAAATTTTGGAAATTCATTAAGTTTTCATTTTTGTTGAAAAATGTACCTTTATATAGTTGCATGTTGTTTGGTTTTTTGAAGTTCCATTTGTTGCATGAAGTTATATTTGTTGTACAATATTTTCTTAGTTGTTGATTTTTTTTTTTTTTTTTAATTTCATGTTCTTTTCATTGTTCACTTGTTCATTTTTACTTAAATAAAGTTTTTATTTAATATGAATTATTTGTTTGTATATAATAATTAAAATAAAAGCAAAAAAAAAAAAGTTGATTATTCATCTATTCTAAAGAAGTTTCTTTAAAAGTTATGGCAAAAATATATTGTTGGGGTTTGTCTAAAAATGGTCAAGCAGGACCATGTAAAGATGGAAAAGTTTTAATACCTCAGCTAATTGAATATGATCACAAATTGTACGGTCATGTGATTGATATTTCAGCAGGTGGACTTTTTACTGCAGCGATTACAGATCGCAATTATATACTTTCTTTTGGTTGTGGAAAATATGGAAGGTTAGCTGGTTCTGTTAATGAGGAAGATAGTAAAAATATAATTGCATACAAATTTGATGATAGCAATAAAAATTTGTCGGCTGTTAGTATTTTAAACTTTTTTTAAGATTTTTTTTTTTAATAAATTATGTTGTATATTTATAATTTTTTTATTTTAAGATATCTTGTGGAATATGGCATGCCTGTATTTTAACACAATGTGGCTCAGTGTATGTTTGGGGTTATAGTAAGGCTTGTGGATCAACAAATAATATGCTAACTCCTCAAAAAGTAGATTTATTAAATGTAGTTGGTATTGCATGTGGAAATAATTTTACATTGTGTTGGACTACATGTGGCAAAGCTTATTCTTGGGGAGTGAATAACCATGGTGTTTTAGGACATGGAAATTCAAGTTATAAAATAGAAGACTCGCCAAAAGAAATTACTGGGTTTTGTGATCATTTCATTGTCCAGATGAGTGCTGGAACAACTCATTGTGGTGCTGTAACAAAAGATGGTTATTTATTTGTTTGGGGCAACAATAAGTATGGTGCACTTGGTATTGTTGGTGAAACTAAAGATATCCTCAAACCAAAACTTGTTGACAATGTTTCTAATGTAAAGCAGATCAGCTGTAACATTGGTGACAATCATGGCCATTCATTATTACTTACTACTAGTGGCAGGTTATTTGCTTCTGGGGATGGGTATAAAGGAAAGCTAGGTTTAGGGAATTTTAATTCTAGCTCCATATTCCAGAATCAATCTAAAATAAACTTTGTTCAGATTTGCTCAGGTGGTATTCATAGTGCTGGTGTAAGTGATACAGGTGAGTTATTTACATGGGGATGTGGAAGTGATGGCAGATTAGGTCATCCTGAAGCTGCAGGTCATAGGTACTTATATCATTCTAATATTCCAAAAGCTGTAGAAGCTTTTTCAAAGAAACGTGTTTTAAAAGTATCAGCATCTTACTATCATACTGTTGCTTTGGTTCAATAATTTAATGAAACTTCTTATTTATTTAAGTATTTATTTAAATTTTGGATTTTTTTTAAGTATTTTTAAATTTTTTATGTTATTATTTGTTTCATACCTAAATTTTCTGTTTTAGTATTTGATATTTATAATATTTTGTATCTGTAGTAACATTTATATTTAAAGATTTACATTTAATAATATTAGTGTATTACTTTTAACTTTATCTTTTTTAAATTAAATTTTTTTCTACTACTACCATTAGTGTACTAATTTGGTTACTTTTTTTGTATAATAACATTAATAATAATAAAAATAATAACTATGAATATAATAATTATATATAAATATATATATATATATATATATATATATATATATATATATATTATATATATATATATATATATATATATATATATATATATATATATATATATATATATATATATATATATATATATATATATATAATTATTATAATGTTAAAACTTCTTCCAAATAAAAATAAAAAACTATTAAAATTTTGTGTCAGAAGGTTTCATTTTTAAGATACAACACAAACTATTTTTATATAATTGTTTATTGTTAAAAAGAGTATTTATTTATAAAAAAAAAAAATTTTCAGGGTTAGCTTTAGTTTTCTTGATTTTTGCTTGGGTAATAACAGTCCATGTTTTTAAGGGCGTGTGACCTTACCTATAATAAAGGAACTCTAAAGTAGTTGTTGTAATTAACTAATCATCTGGAACATTTGCTAAAATTGGAGGGGGAGGGAAGTGGAGGAAGCTAAAAATTAGAGAAAATATTTTTAATGTTTATCAACGACTATCAGCCAAAAAAGTTAATTTTTATGAACAACAAAATAATCTGATCAGGCCTAACTTTAAAAAAAACCCTTTTTACCCTTTTTTTATCCTTTTTTTCTTGTAGCAATAATAATAATAATAAGCTGCCTGTTTTCTAAGTTTTTCTAATTTGTGTTAGAAATTGCATTTAATGATTTTCTGGGAGTCAAAAATGAGTTTTTTAGAAGTGCAAATTGCGCCACATTGTTAATAGTTTAGTTCTTTATTTTTGCAATATGTAACCCATATTATTATGAGTATTTTTAGATTAGGTGTATGGTCAAATAATTGTACTTCCTGTCATGGATACTATCTAATCCATCTGCCGAGCCTATAGTAATATATATATATATATATACCTTTTCTTTTTTTTCTGTCTTTATATAGTTGAGGGTGTCTAAGTTACTTTGTTAGCTTTGTTACCTGTAATTTAATATATATCTATGTTTGTGTTTTCTCTAAACCTCTGGTGCAGTGTTTAGACCTGGAAGTTACTTTATGTATTTTTGTGTTCTGTCCGAACCTCTGTTGTAGTGTTGGTTCATCCGTAGTTACTATTAAATCTCTGGTACAGTCTGAGCTCAGTAACCAACTAGTGACTCCAACTATAAAACCTATACTCACCTTAATCTCTAGTATTTTGTTAAAGTACTACTTACAGGAAGAAATTCCTTTTAACTACTCCAGTTCAGGTTAGGTTGAGGATCATCACAATCACCCTGCTAGTAGTATCATGCAACACAGTACTACCTGCACCATACCCTGCTGCCTTGTAGGATTTGCTTTTTAAAGGGGATTTTTAAGTCCAAGTGTAACCTTTTTTTAAGTCTGGATTTATAAACTCAGATACTCTTGATATAATGATAACAGATTCGATTTTTTTAAGAAAAGTGAAACTTGTTGGGACCAATAATCCGTAGAGCGTAGAGCGTTCTTTTGTAGACATTTGAGTTATAATAACGGTGACATTTGAGTTTTATTTAACGGTGAAAAGTAAGAAAAAAAAAGTCAAGAAACATTTTAATAAAAGTTTAAAAAAGTAAGTGTAAAACAAGAATTTTAAATAAATAAAAATAAAAGACAAAAAAAATAAACTGAAATTTTTTCAAAAATTTTGTGGAAAAAAAAGATAAAAATTTTAAAAAATTTTGTACATTGTTTATATCATGTGTATTTATGTATATAAGTAATGATAAATGTTTTTTTTTTTTTTTTTAATTTTTTTTTCTGTTGATTTAGTTCTTGTTGCTTTTTCTATATCTTGTGATTTACTTTTGTTTAATTAATATATGTAATGTATAATATAATGTATGCAGTAGTGTATGTATATATTTTTTATTTAAGTTTGCCTTTATTTTTCTTTTTTATATTTGTCTACAGAAATTTTTTTCTCTCGTTCTATCTTTCTTAACTTATGAAATTAAATTTGTGTTTTATCATACATCTTTTTCTCACTTATCTTTTTGTTAGTCTTACTCCTTTAACATTTTTTTTCCATTTTTTTATTATTATTGTTCCTATTACTTTTTTTTATTACTTGTATTATTGTAGTTTACTCTCTTTATTATTTCCTTGTCCTAATATTTTTTTTTTATTAGTTTATTTTATTAAGGTGTTTCATTAAGGTGTTTTATTAAGGTGTTCCATTGACTAGTTTTTAACTATATGAGTGACACCGAACCTAATTTTGTAAAATTATAATTAAATTTGTAATTTTTGATTTTATGGTTAAATAAATGGATAAGAATTACCATAATTTATTTTGATTTATTTTTTCCTTAAAATTTAACGCCATACATTAAATAGCTTCTAATTAAAACATTGTGTAAAACAACTTAAGATTTACAAGGCAATAGTTTATTAAACTTAGTAGGTTAGGCCTTTACTTATCTTTTATAATGCTTCTACTATATATTGATGCCATTTTATATTGTTGTACCAAAGAATACCTGGAATGCTAACGTTTTTTTCTTTGTAATTTTCTCCACACTGGGTAATGTTGAGCCCTTGTAACTTAACTTCTATATTTTTTGCGCTACCAAATATTATTATTTTTATTTTTTCAGGATGAAGTAATAGTTCATTTTATAATAAACCAATTACTAGTTTTTTATTATAACATATTTCCTGTAACTGTTCAATAGCAAAAAAGACAGTGTCTAATTCTGTTGGACCCAGTAGGTCATAAATATAAATTTTAAAAAGCAATGGACCAATATATGCTTCTTGGCAACACCCAACTTTATCACTCTTTCATTTGACATAGAACTTCTTATAACAGCTGACTGCCTTTTTTGTTAAGTATGAAAGATCCATTTTAAAGTTTTTTAACCGGCTCCTATATTTTTGAGTTTGTTGTGAATAATGCTATGGGAACAGCTATCAAAAGCTTTTTTTACATCAAATAAAATTTTAAAATTTTGGAGCAAGATTATTAACAATTTGTTCAATTCATTCATTAGATACTAAATTTAAATCCAAAGTAACATTGTGAAAAAGAAGATATTTGGAATAGTTTAGGAGATTAAAGTTGTTTAGAAGCATCTGTAAAGTAATCAATAAACAAAATGGCTATTTCCTGTTCTGATTCAATCAAACAGGAATTTTTTTTAAATTTTTGTTGAATATTCAAATTTAGTTTTTGTAAATGCAATGCATTTTAGTGAAGCTGCACCGAGCAGTGTACGCCTTAGGGATGAATAATAAGTTAAAAAGAGTTTAGCAGAGTGAGATAAAAGTGCAAAAGGACAGATGTCCAGAGGAAAACAAAGAGCCTCAAAGTGGAAAAATATTAATAACTGATATGAGTAAAGTGTAGTAAAAAGTAAATAAGAATAATAAACAACAGTCAAGGAAAGTCATTAGTTGTTGTGCTACTAAATTGTTGTTAGAGTCCAGCGTAAATGTGATTTGTAGATAGAATTGGTAATGGAGTAGAATTATAAGTAGTCACCATGTGGTATGTGTTATTTGGATGATAAACATACATTATAGATATAAGTGTCATGAACGTCTCGAGTACAGTATGGATTCGTGCCTTATGCTGCAGTATGAACACATGGAGACCTACAGCTTTCATTCGAGACTGGTGTCCCAAAAGAAGTTCCACTCTGGGTCTACACCAGAGTATCTTTTTAGAGGTATCCCATTGTGTTATCCCAAAAGGACTATTCTCAGAGTATCCAGTCAAGACGATTGCCACAGACTCCTGAATTGACACTGGGACCAGAGGACTCTTAGTGGGGTTCAGTACAACTTGCAAACAGTAGTAAGTAGTTTTTTGACATGAGTGTCTATTGGGTACAGTGGTTTGTCAGAGTCAATGACAGTTGTGGACTGTTCTTTTACAGTGTAGCAGCTGTTGCCTAAAGAAATATTATATATATATATATATATATATATATATATATATATATATATATATATATATATATATATATATATATATATATATATATATGTATATATATATATATATATATGTTTGTATGTATAATAAAAATAGGAAAAACAATAATAACAATAACAACAACAACAAGATATTTCCTCAAAATTTACAATCATATAATTACAATAATAATAATAATAAGAAGAAGAAGAAGAAGAAGAAGAAGAAGAAGAAGAAGAAGAAGAAGAAGAAGAAGAAGAAGAAGAAGAAGAAGAAGAAAAAGAAGAAGAAGAAGAATTTCATAATATTATAGATAATAAAATCATAATATCATTATTAAGAATAAATATAAATAATTGATTGACAAGGAAGGAGTCACTCATGCAGAAGGAGTGACATCAAATCAGTGACATCAAATAATTATAATTTAAAAAGTAATAATAACAAAAATAACTTTATTCATTAATAGAGCAAAAGTAATAGCAAAAATAAGGAAGGTAAATTTTTATTAAGGGAGTCAAAAATAAAAAGAAGATTAGCAAATCTAACTAGTGCTGACAAGGAAGGAATTTTAAGTTTTTTGTTGAAGTTTGAAGTTGCTGTATTATGGAGTTGAAAATATATTATTCAGATTGATCAACACTGAATAACAATTTATTAATATTACAGTTGCCAATATGTCCCCAAACCTGACAACAGTAGTTGATATAAAACTGAAAAATTGCAAAATACAGATTCTTAAGGGTAGTTTGTTCATCATAACGGCGAGTTGCTGAAAGCATGCCATTAGCTTGATTAAGTTTTTTTACAGAGTGCATCTATATAAAAAATCTATGAGAGGCTTGAATCTATAAAAATACTAAGATGTTTAACAACATGTGTTGAATATAAACGTTTATTATTAATTTTAATTTTAGTTAAATGATTGTTGTATAAAAGTTTTTACATTTTTATATATGACTCAAAGACAGTGGCATTGAGTCCACCAGCTTCATAATCAAAATAATTTTGATTTTTCCCTATTTTCGTTTCAGAATATTCAATAAACTAAATTTACTTGTTGGTTTTTAACCTGAAATTTGTCAATCTATTAGTTCCCATAGATGTTCAGTAGAATTAAAGTCAGGACTTAGTTATGGCCATTCCGTTAATTAAATTTTTTTGTTTTTAAAAAATTCTTTTACAAGGGTTAAAGTGTCTTTTGGTTTATTATCCTGCTGAAATATCCATCCTCGAGCCATGAAAAATGATCCACACAAAATGCTGTCTTGGTAAATGCTGAAATTAAAGAACTTTACAACACTAAACAACACTGCATTTTACATTAGTAAAATGTAGTTTTGGCGCAAACGTCTTTTGAGGTCTGCAAGTTTATTTGGAAGACGTCCTACAATGAAACTTTTTATTTATATAAAGAATTAAAAAGCAGGCTTTAGATTTCCTAATGAATATTTGATTTAGGTAAGAGAACAGTGATTGAAAGTACTTTTTAGTGATGAATTTAAGTTTATGTTATTTGAATCTGATAATATTAGATATGTCCGTTGACCAAAAGGCCACAAAAATGATCCTAAATACCAGCTACCAACAGTAAAGCACAGATGTCGAAATCTTATGAACTGGGCTAATTTGAATAGAGATTGTATTGGTCCTATCCATTTAATTGATGGCAAAATGGACAAAAAAATGTATAAAGGATGTAAGGATAAAATATGTACAAAGGATGCCTTGTCACTGTCAAGCAGTAATCAATGCTAATAGTAATTAAGGCTTCCCGACGAAGTATTAAAGAAATTTTTTAAAATAAAGCATTTTCAATTTTAAAAATGTTTAAAAAAAAAATCTGATTCAAGTTTTTTTTTTCTGTTCGAATACTTTAGCACGCACATATTTTATTTAAATGAACTTTTAAGATTAGATTGCTTAGATTAAGTTAAAATTCATTTGTTTTTAGATTTGTAATCAATTTAAAAAAAATTGGACTTTTCATTCAAAAGTTATCTTAAGTTATGCTCTTGTCCAATTACTTTTGCATGCTACTGTATATGTAATATATATATATATATATATATATATATATATATATATATATATATATATATATATATATATATATATATATATATATATATATATATATATGTATATATATATATATTAAACATGTTGTTTTATAGTATAAATTGTTATATAAATTAAATATAAACATAATAAATAAATATATATAAGTATATTTGAGAAAATAAATTTTTTATTTTAATATTAATCAACATTTATAACATTAAACAAATTAATAAAAATCTATTAGTGTAGATTTAAATCTTCAATGTTAAATATTATTTATTGTCAACATTAGTTGATCTGCTATATAAACATTAGTTGATCTTTTTTTTGTAAAATTAACTAGTAATTATAATGGCTAATTGTTCCTTTCAATTTTCTGTAGCATATGTATATAAGTAAATGAAACAGCAGAAATGCAATCTGAAATTTTATTTTCGAAATATATTCAAGTTGTGCAAAAGGAGTTTGATCAAAGGTAAATAAGTAAATAATTTTAAGTTCTTTATTTAATTCTATATTCTAGTATTATGAGAAATATAAAATCTGTTTTATATTTCTGATATATTTAGATGTTCTCCTCTTCAGATTCAAGTATCATTACTAACATTAACAGCCACTCATAAAAAAGTTTGTCAATATTTGGTTCCTTTTTGTTTATATAATAGATTATGTTCAATATATTAGTGTATATATTTGTATATATATAAATGTATATATATATATATATATATATATATATATATATATATATATATATATTATATATATATATATATATATATATATATATATATATATATATATACATTTAGTATAATATATATATATATATATATATATAAACAATAAAGCTTTATATCAGAGTTTTCCTTTTCTAAAGTTGTCTTCACCATGGCTAAAGAGTCAATATATATATATATATATATATATATATATATATATATATATATATATATATATATATATATATATATATATATATATATATATATATATATATATATATGTGTATATATTAGGATGACAAAAAAGTCAAAGTGCTCAAAATTGGACTCTCAACCCTTTATTGTGTTCCGTTTAACTGAAAAAAAAAGTGCAAAATATGTTTAATAACTTCGCTAGAAGTATATTGACAATTCCAGCAGCTTCCTCCAGCTCTGAATGAGTGTTTTCCACAACTGGAAATATCTATAGTGACAGAAGAACAAATCTTTCATCATCCAATGTTGAAAAAATTGTTTATTTAAAAGAAAACTTAGGACAAATAAAGAAAATTCATGATGTGAAAAATTTTATAGTTTGATTTAATTTCACAAAAAAATAAAAATAAAGTTTTGTATATATATATATATATACATATATATATATATATATATATATATATATATATATATATATATATATATATATATATATATATATATATATATATATATATATATATATATATATATATATATATATATATATATATATATATATATATATATATATATATATATATATATATATATATATATATATCAGTTAATCAAACAAGTTTTATAGTTTTTTAAAAATATTCTCTCACCTCTCTGGCTTTTTTAATTAAATTTGGAATTAGGGCTGGCATTAGCAAATGTCGACCTAACTGTCAGCTTGAAAGTGTCTTAGGATGGAAATTCTCCGCTGACCTCAAGCTTAATTTTATTTCCTATTTTAATAAATTTAAAACAGTCAAGCAAACTCTTTATTTAAATTTTAAATGAAATAATTAAAATAAAAGCAGTAAAACATTTAAGTTCTAGATAAAGTTCTAAAATATTAATAATCTATTTAAATTCTAAAATAAAAATGAAAAAACTAACAATTTATTAAAATTTGGGATAAAATATTTAAAATACCAACAGAAAAACAAAGGTTTTAATTAATTTTTAAAAAATTCTAAATAAAATAATTAATATTATGACAGAAAATATAACCTTTTTATTTAAATTCTAAACAGATTAATTAAAATAAAATAAGGCAAGTCAAACTTTTTTGTAAAAATTCTGAACAAATTAATTTAAAAAAAACAACATTAAAAATGAAGGTTTTTTTTTAGTTAATTTTTTTTTTTTTTTTTTTTTTTGATTATTTGATTTAGAATTCAATAAAATTCTAAATAAAATAGTAAAATTTAATTAAATTCTAAATTAAATAATTGAGATAAAAACAATAAAACAAACGTTTTTAAATAATTCTAAATAAGTACAAAAAAAAACCCACCTAAAACTATCTATTTATCAGTCAATGTAGCTACACTCCTTACATGTTCTATCTATTTGTCAGTCGATGTAT